ACCTCTACCCCAGACAGCAGTGATAGAGAAGAGGAGAGCGACGACGATGCCGATTTGGCCTGTCATGGCAATCGAATTGTTGACTTGAACTGCCTGCAGGAACTCCTGCATGTTAGTGTAATTTGTAGAGCTTGCCAGGGTGGAAGAGTAATTATTTCTGAGAGCAACCGTGTAGGTTTAGCGTGCAATGTAATTTTGCGCTGCAACAACGATGACTGCACTTTTGAGATCACCGGACCGGTTTCAAGCAAGGAGAAGCGCTTTCATGACGTCAACAGACGCTCTGTGCTGGCCATGAGGCACATCGGCTATGGCCATGCCGCCCTACGGAAGTTCTGCGGCATAATGAACCTTCCACCCCCCCCCCCCCCCCCCCCCCCCGTGACGGAGCATAGCTTCCTAAAACAACAGAAAGCTGTCGCGATGGCAGTTACGTTCATGGCACAGTGTTCTATGCAGGCTGCAGCCAAGGAGGTGAAGCTACTCCACCCTGATGGGAACATACCGTCAGCTTTGATGGCACATGGATGAGGAGGGGATTTTCATCATTGTACGGAGTGTTCATCTGCATTTCATGGGATACTGGGATACTGGGTGAGATACTGGGTGAGATACTGGGTGGGATACTGGGCGAGTGCTTGACTACCATGTCAGCGGGAAGTACTGTCATTAATGCAAGATGTGGTACTCAAACTTGGAAAATGGCAAGACAACAGAAGAAAAGTTCATGGCGTGGAGGCTTGCCCACACGTGTGACATCAACACAGAACGGTCATCCCCTGGCATGGAGAGCGAGGTGGCCACCATTCTGTGGAACAGATCGTGTGCCGAGCGCTCGCTGCAGTACACCACCTTCATCGGTGATGGAGACAGCAAGAGCTATCGTGCTGTATGTGACGCAAAGCCGTACCCAGGCGTGGATATCCAGAAGGAAGAGTACATTGTACACATCCAGAAGCGCCTGGGTACCGGGCTCAGAGAGCTAAAGCGCACCATGAAAGGGAAGAAGCTCTCTGACGGCAAGACCATCGGTGGCGCCAGCAGACTCACAGATAAACTCATCGACACTCTGCAGACATACTACGGTATGGCTATCCGCGCGCACCACCAATATCTACAAGTTATGGCCAAAGCGATAAAGGTATTGTCGGAGATGCTCTGCAGCTACGGAGAGTTTACAGCAATTGCCCTGGAAAGAGAGGATTTGGTGCGCATCCGGTCGGATAAGAAGTCCACAGAAGGAGAGAAGGAGTCGAGAAAGAGGAGGAGAAGAAGGAGGAAGGGCTGGGAGAAGCAAGCAGTTGAAGCAGAGGTGGTAACATACCAAGCTGGTGCGTTTGACCACATGAGAAGCTGTAAAAGCTTCAGTACTTGCTATAATACAGCCGGAAATGCCCAGATTGGAGTGCATTTTTCCTTGTTTTTAGCCCCTTTTCGAAAGGGTGCGCAACTTTTTTGCCTTCGCCTTTCACTGTAGCCCCATAAGCCTATACATTTTTGGATTGCTGTGGCCATTGGACAGGGCCGTTGTGTGTTGCCATCATCGAATACTCTGATTTACTCATGTTTTAGTACACTCAATCAACCCTCGGTCTTTCTTGCGATCGCACTTTGTGATTCCTTAGGCTGCAGTACTTGTGTCTGGTGTTGTGGAGCACTCCCAATACACAACGACCCTGCCGCCTTGTATTCTTGATCTCTTTATTTCATTTCAAGTCAATACTACCATGTTCACTTAGAAAAAAGTTGCGCACCATTTTGCCCTCTGCGCGCGGCCTTTGCTTTATTTTCCCCATGCTGAAATTTCAATGATAGCACATCCATTTGGCCCAACTGTTGTGATGTACTCCAACTACAAGGTATGAAGGCACCGTCTAGAAAATTTGGACTGATTCTATGTATGTTTGCCAAAGATACGGTCATTCGAGTATGACCCTGTCGGAAAATGGCCGCGAAGGTACAGTCCCCCCTTTTTAAGCTCCGCCGACCAGAGGTCTCGGCTTTATAGCTCCATGGACGCACCAAAGGGAGATTGGGTAGGAGGGTTAAGTTGAAAAAGAAAACAGAAGAAAGAAAATGGAAAGATTGTATTGCTCAGTGAGCAAGAGAATAAGTTGAGTAGTGTGTGTGTGTGCGTGCGTGCGTGCATGCGAGCGTGTGTGTGTTGATGCGTTTGTTCTAGTTGTCCAGGTCTGTGTCGGTGTGTGGTTGTAGTAGTTAGTGTAATGGTTGTATACAGTATAGCAATACTCATCACATTCTCCTTTTCTCTACAGACACGATGGACTCCACTTCACAGGGCAGTCAACTATAACCAGATCAACGTTGTCAAGGTGATGCTGTCACATGACAGTGACGGTGTCACCTTGGACACCACATTGCGTGACAGTGTAAGTATTAGATTGTGTGTTGTTGTGAAATGAACAGTTTATACTCGTCCTTGTCACCTGTCCTGCCTCTCTCTCTGTCTGTCCCTCGCTCTCTCTCACACACAACTACCACAACTCTCCTCTCCTCTTGTCAGAAATGTGTACCAGTTGTACAATACCGTACTCGATGACATCATGCGTACAGTATCGCCACGTGGTCATATTCACTCCGTGGTTCAATTTTTGAAGAATTTCGAAATCAGTGTGTGAAGGGGTAGACTGTTTGATGGTGTTTGTTGGAACGAGTGAGGAGTGAAGTGTTTTTGTTATTGTAACGAGTACGCAGAAGACGTGCTGTTGTTCCTGACCTGGAGCAGGCGCTGTGGACACCTTCCTCTCGTCGTGGATATTTTCGTTCGAGTAGAAATCTGTAAAAAAATTCAAATTTGTCGAGGCATGAACTGGAGTTTTTACTGTGGATGCATGGAGTAGCAATGTTGCTGAGGAAGGAGAGACTTGTTCTGTAGAGTAGAACCTGGGTTTGGGATCCACCTAACTCTGCGCGGACATAGCTGGACTCAGTTGTACAGGGATGGGCAAAAAGGTGTGCAAAACGACTTTTTGTGAGTAGATGGACCCCGGAAAAATAGTTTGGAGCGAAAAATATTACGGCTTCCTCGGAAACCGACGGGGGACCCCCCCCCCCTTGGGCCGGAAATTAAATCCCGGTATAAGGATCACCCGCACAATGTACGTGCCAAGTGCCCCCCCCCCCCCCCCCCCCCCCCGGGCTCCGATCCCTAATCCGGTGTGACCCTTAACCCGAGTTCCACTATACATGTAAGTCGTCTTGTGGAGAGGTTGATTTCGTCTGGTTGTACATTATGCCTTTGGCCTTCGTTGTGTTTTCGTTTTTGTAAATTTGGAACGAATTTTCTCAAAAAGATTTTCTGTTGTTCCTGTGATGTGTTGTTGAGTTACTCAGGCAGGGAAAACAGCGTTGGACCTAGCCAAGGAACGCAATCGTGAGGGATTTTTGGTGTTGCTGATGAATGACGAGAGTGTGAAGGTATGTTGAATAGACTTGACGAGTGACTGAATTTAGATCTACTGTGTGTATACAGTAGTCAGTGCAGCGTGTCGTACATTTGATTGGTTGAACTATGTAGTGATTAGGTGTCACGTGAGTCACGTGAGGTGCACCTACCACCACCATGTCCTACATTTGTACAGCTGTCTATGAGATCAAGACTACATAAACACGAGAGAGTGAAACTCCGCTTGGTCTGGCCATGGCGGAATGTTTCGTTTTGTTGACTGTTCTGGAGATAATGAGTCATACCGTACGAGGCATGTACTACGAGTCTCTGGGCGCGTGAGCTTGTACAGTTTTCATTAGGGGTGGTCGCAATAGTTTTTTTTGTCGTCTCTGAAACGAGAGCATCATTCGTTTGGGGGGGGGGGGGGTAGGGGTGCGAGTCAAAATCACAACTCGACCGACACTGTACATTGTACTTGTACATGCATGCGATTATCGTCGTCCAGCATAGCAAGCTGCGTTCGTTTCAGAGTGGGGGGGGGGGGGGTCCGAGTACGAAATAACGATATTGTCTCCATGGCCATAGCCGGCCTGAGATTGAACGGGAGGGGGGGGGGGGGGCTGGGTGAACTAATACATGGCATTGGCAGGTTTGGGGGGGGGGGGGGCGCTCCCACCCACCACCCCCTCAAAAGTTTCGACCTGAGTTTGAAAAAACACCAGGCTGCTGCATGCACCATGTGCACAGGCGGTAGACTCTACACGGTGGGAAGCAGCGTCCAAAAGAGGTTGCACGGACCGTTGGTGTGTGAGCGGCATTGGTTGCACTGCAAAGAAACGATTGACTCTGTACGAGCTCTAGACTTTTGTACAGATTTCAGGACGCGCTCGATGCGTCTTGAGAAAGCGTGCAGTGATGTGCTGAACGCAGCGCTGCCCACTGGGTGGGTCAAAAACAAAGCTTGTGATCATTAAGCGCTTCTTTTCGCAACGTTGTACAACGATGTTTTGAGGATGATCCCCTCTAGATTCGAATCGTGAATTGGTTGACTTGAAGACTTTTCTGCAAAGACTCAGCGACATCCATGGACCAAAGAAGCCAAGCTCTGGCCAGCAGAGCCTGGATGGATTTTTGCAAAGCGTTCTTGCGATGGCGCAATTCCTGTTCCAACAAGAATCAGTGGGAGTGATCAAGTCGTTGCCAGTCCAGTTCGGAGCGGACTGACATTCCACCCGACGCCGAGGTGCCAGTACCTGATGTCAGTGAGCAGCCAAAACATGATAAAGAACTGCATGATATGCTCCAAATAAAATTGGGCAAAGATGTACTGTACAAGTAACATGACAGATGATTGTACAATGTAGTAACTGAGCATGAGATACTTTAGTCTGTATCTCTTTGTCTGTCAACTCCTATAATATAGGATTTTTCCGAGTTTTTGGAAAAGGGTAGATGATACCTTACAAAGTAAAGTTCTTTCTTCAAAACCCTGTTGGAGGCTGCATTCCATGTTTATCAGAGATGATGTCTGCCAAGTTTCATCAGCACAAGGGCTTTACTTTTTCTGTAACAGGCCTTCTCGTGCAAAGGTGTCCAGATTTTTCAAAATCCTATACTGTATAGCAGGAAATTTTCGGACGGAAATATTTTCAGACAGCGCCGAATTTCGACCTTTCGTACGGATTTTATTTTCGTACAGTGCTGCATGCTAAATGCACATGTTCGCAAGCAGTACCCATGTACAGTGTACATAAAGTCACATGAACAAATTTTAGTACGGAATTAATTTTAGTACAAAAAGGCCGTGTACGAAATCGTACGAAAATATATTCCGTCCGAAAATTTCCTGCTATACAGTATATAGGATATGGCCTAGGATATGGCCTCTTCAAAAATTGGTTTTGTACTTCCCAGTTTCCCCTGCCAATAAAAACCCTAGTTGGCAATATCCAAGCCTAAATATGGTCCATATGGAGCTAACAAAAATGTTCTATGCATCTATGGCTAAAGAAGAAGCACCTCCTGGGCTAGTTCCAAAAGAGTATTCCACTATTAATATGTGTACTTCGAAGTACATACTTGAACACAACTGATTTAGTAAATGCCCCATATATGTAGTGTCTTTAGTTCATATCGATCTGCGAGCACTTTACAACACGACTTCAATGCTAGGATGGTGCTAATAGGGCTTGAAAGTGCTACGTCACAGCATAGCAACAATTTCAAAAATTCAAAAACTGGATCCACTTGGATCCAGTTTTTGTATGGATCCAAGCACATTTCAAGCCGTCTTACTCACAGCAAGGTGATGTAGCCAGTGAAACTGACTGATTTGGCTACTGGAGGCGGGGTTACAACTGGTGTCGAAGTAAAAGTCACCCCTGCATGAGTGGGTTGCTATGCACCCACATACTGAGGCAATAGCAAAGTCACACCTTAGTGGATCCAAAATAGAAATCTGATGTCAACTTACTACTCCCTGGCCGTTTTTGACGTCATCACTTTCAAGCCCTATAGACATCTATTCATTTCTACCACTTGTAATTGCAATTCATCAGCAGTAATTGCACATAGAGACCTTTCCTGGGGGTCTTAGCCATTGGGTAGCCTCTATTCAGTCATTTTAAAGAAAGAGATGCATTGTGGGAAAGATCGAAATGCATCTTCAATAGCATTGCTTCCACTTCGACCATTTTCGAGGCTGCAAATGCGTCTTGAAGTCCAATCCTATATACAGGATTAGCTGGTGACAGACAAAGAGATAGTGTAGGTCTGGAAGAAATACCTGCCATGTAATAATTTTGTAATGTTGGATAGCTAGGTGCGTGACATACATCATTACAGTCATGTGCACCATGTCATCTCCCCCGGCCACGACCCCCTCAGCCAAATCCTGGACACGCCATGGTTGTGGATATAAGCGAGGGGGGGGGGATGAATGCAGCACTCGACCTAAACTATATCCTATTCTGTGCACCAAGCACTAAATTTGGTGCCGGCCGGCTTTGTAGGGTACCAATGCATTTGATCAACCAGACGCCAAGTGCATGTGATACTTGGGACCATTTGCAAGCCGTGAAACGGCAAGACGAATGAGGAAACTGTGTTAGAATCCTATCCTGACCACGCGAAGCACACTGGTGTTCGATGAGTTCGGAGGGGTCTGCTCGTCATGACCGCAACGAGGATACGGAGAATGCATAGTAAATTGCGCCTCCTTTTGTGACATTTTCTCAAATTTCCAAATGTTTCATGCACTCCTGTTGGAATAAAGTATGATGGCAAATATACGGTGTACGAAGGAAAGGCACTTTCTCACTAGACAAGTGACGTTTGCTAATACTTGGTCCCTCAAGTTACAATTGGCGCTTATCTTCGCACTTGATTTTTCGGTGTTCTGCCTGTGTCATACCGCATGGAACCACTGATTCACCGTCCGAACATAACCATAGACCATTGCATTCGACAACATGGCAGCACAAACCACCACAGAAGTTGTGATCGGTTCGTTTGAATCTTTTTGACTGGAGCTGCCACCGACGAACACTTCCGTCACCGCAATGAAAGGCTGCATCCTCCGCTCCAGTCCATAAAACAGGTCAGGATGTTCACACTTCAGAGCGATGGCGAATACAGTTTCTGCCTACTTCCAGCTGTCTGGTGGCAAGGATGGTTTTCTGCGGGGAGGTATAGAAAAGCTGAAAAAGCGCATCGCTAGCTTGAATTTGAGTACTCGCACTGTACAGCGCCTAGTGAAGAGTTATACCAGCAAATCTCCGACGAAGAAACTACAGATCATATCGACATCTCCAGAAAGCGAGACCAATCCGGCGGACACACTTTGAAGCTCACAGAGGACCTGGCAAAGGAGCTGATCAAAACGAGAGAGCTTGGAAGCTCAGGGCCCTACGCTATGCTTTTTTGCCTAGGGGGTAATAGTAATACGACACCGTCTACCAATTTGATGACCTAGGCAAAAAAAGCCGCATAGGGATGTTATAAATGTTTCTTTTCTCCTATTTTTTTTTAAGACATAACCTAGCATTCGAATCCGCACTATCGCCCTGCATGCATTCCCCTGATACACTTCGCATACATACTCATTCTTCCAAGTTGCTTCACGTTATGATCTTGCATTTGAAAGCCCTATTTGAATCAGGGAGTAGTACAATACGCGCAGTCAACATTACTACAAACTAAAGATATACAACTAGCTAAGCCAGCACGATCTGTCTCCTTGACAGTCAAACTGCCAGTTTTACAAATTTTGCACACGCAAATTTCTGAGACAATTGTCTGTAGGCACTCCATGTCAACAAGACGATATCCAGCACACTCTTGCTCACTGCCATCGTCACTGCCTAGTTCAGAATCTTGAGGAGAGTCATCGCCACTGCTGGCCTCAGAAACACTAGCAGAGCTCTCAGAATCGCCTCTGTCACTTGGATGCTCATTGTCGACATCACTGTCTGGGTTCGAGTACGACGACGAGTCACTCGAACAAGACGACTAGACGAGGAATCACAAACAATCCATCTGGGAAATTCTACATCAAGCTTTCGCTTCGCAGCAGACACTACTGGCGCTTCATCGTGACTTGACTCAGACTCGGAATCGCCATCTGGGATTGTACTCCCTGATTTGAATATTGTGGCCAGCTTGTCTTTGATGGTACTACGGAATGGGACATGTACGGGATAGCGCCAGGCGTGCCGATGCTAGATATAATTCTGCTGTCCTTGATGGTACGGTACGGGACAGGTACGGGGTAGCGTCCTTGATGGTACGGTACTGGACAGTTACGGGATAGCGCCAGGCATGCCGATGGCACAAACAAACAAACAAACACGAAGTTAAAGTTGTGTGGACCCTGGCTAGCGCCAGACGTTACTGAAGTACATGTAACGTCTTTTGCATAGCTACGGGAATAAACACTAACTCCTGACCTGAGGGAAACTCTCGTGCAAACGTCTTGCAGGGATCTCGCAGAAAAGAGCTACGCCTGCTCCAGAGTCAGTGCAACACTGGTGCAAGACGTTAGGTGCAGTACGAGCACAGGTGCAATATTGCAACGAACGGGGATAACACATGCAGCCAACACACGGGTAGTTTCACTCAGCTTCTGAGCGGCAAGATGGCAGGCACGACAGGTGACTGCCTTTGAGCGTGATTCGAGACGAGGAGAAGTGGAACAAGCTATGAAACGTTTGAGCGTGATTCGAGACGAGGAGAAGTGGAACAAGCTATGAAACGTGCAGCATCTGTCTGGATTGAATGTTTTGAGCTCTTCCTCCAGCGACGATAGTGGCGAGGGGACGTGTAACTTGCTAGGATTTTCGGCTGCGTTGCTTTCTGACATGTAAAGTATCATATACGTAGCGTTTTCTGATCGTGGCATGCTTCAAATAATTGTATTTTCGTTTTGAGACAAGAGTGAAGATAAGTGGCAATTTGAACTTGGCAGACCAAGTAGGCCATTCACACGACGTGCAAACTCACATTTATCGTACCGTTTCCAAGAATATTAACGATAAACTTGGACGCATGCTTGCAACTGATTTTTGAACTTGGCCGGGGCCCTTGTGCTCACGATTATACTTTGCACACGAGCAAAAGTGCCGGTGTTGAAAGTGCGCGCTGCAAATGTAGTGTGTGGGATATTTTTTGAAACAGAAATTTCAAAATTTAAAATTTCCCCTCATTTTTAGGAGGTCACTATGGATACATTAACATGTGCAAAGTTTGCCCAGCACCGTGTGGACTGGATCGCGGTTTGCAAGTGATATCTTGGTCACACACGTACATGTGTTTGCATGTCGTGTGCATGGCCTATAAGTGCTTTGTTGAAAAGGCTATCTTAGCGGCTGCAGACATGGACTTGACGTGGATGTGACCTGCGCCTCATGGTCTCTTACGTGATTAGTCAAGTGGTATGTGTCAATACACACACACACACACACACACACACACGCACGTACACACACGCACGTACGTACACACACACACACACACACACACACACACACACACATACACAGCGACACATACACACGCACACACACACACACACCTTTTGGACCTTTTGACGTTCATCGCCGGAGGCGATGATAGCGATGCTACAGCAGAAGCCATAGCAGCTTGTGCTGGGATTGCACCATTCAACAGCTTGCAAGGCTGAAGAATTGACCGCCACTATTCAGTCTGGTCTACACCACACAGGTATGAAGTGGCTTTTTTTGGCCAGTGAATCCCTACTTTTTGGCCTTTTTTTCCCGCACCCAAATCATACCACATATTCCGACATGCACTGGCTGTTGGTAACCACCCAGGAGAATGAAAGAAAAGTCAGGAGGAGTCTGAGAAAGACAAGAAAGACGTGTGTGACCATAATCGTCGGGAATTGAGCTCGCAGCCTATCGATTGGAAATCGCTGCACATACCACTGCACCATATGGGACACACACACACACACACACACACACACACACACACACACACACACACACACACACACACACATACACACTCTCACACACACACACACACTCACACACACACTCACACACTCACACACACTCACACACTCACTCACACACACACACACACACACACACACACACACACACACACACACACACACACACACACACACACACACACACACATACACACACACACACTACAGAGAGCGGAGTCCTTCGGTTCGATAGAGTGCTCAATAAAGACACACTATGTATTATGTACAAGCATACACACATAGTGCACACATACTCGCACGAGTGCTCATTGGTGAGCGAGCGTACGTGAAATATAAGTCTGTGAACCCTGCTTATGCCAATCGTCTACTGCGTCTAGCATGGCATGGGGAATGAAAGTACAGTCAAACCTCTTTAGGACGAACACCAAGGGACCGATGACATTTGTTCGCAATAACGGGAGTTCTTCTTATCCGTATGTTATTCCCAGTGAATACACAGTGATTTATCCAATGGAGTTACGAATACTAGTTCATCTTAAGGAAACATTTGTCTTATCAGTGTTCTTCCTAACGAGGTTTCACTGAAAATTGATTGACTCCTTTCTGGTGTTGTGTGTGCTGTGTTTCTGCTTTGGGAACATAGAATGAAAGGAAGAAAGAGGAGCTTCAAACTGGTGGGTGCCAATCTGTCTGCTAGATGTTAGAATTTCTTTGTAGTAATAATTTTTGGTTCTGACAGTCTTCAGGTACATAATGCCGCAAAGTCCGCTGCAAACGCCCTCTTCGCAGCAAACGCCCACCCCAGCGGGACCATACTATTTTCGTCTTTTTCAGGTCAATATAGTTGTAGAAAACTGGCATGAAGGTCGAATGCGTACGAGAACAGCTGTAATGCCTACACACTGCCGATGTCCTACCAGGAGGCTCTGCAAAAACGATTGTCATTATCTTGCTGCAAAGAAAACTTCGGTTGAGATTCCCTTTCATTTGATAAATGAGCCGTCTTTTTTTATTGGTTCGTTCATCGTGTGGTAATGCCGTAGAATCCATCTGGGTTTCAATTCATGACATTTCTGCTGTGCCATGATGTCACGCTTTTAGAACGGAACGGCGATTGTTCTGACAAAGCGTCATTCAACGACTTGACCGGTCGCAGTATTGCAGTTGCAAGTCGAACAGGGGGGATGTCCAGAAGCTACACCTACGAAGTCGCTGCTAAAAGTGTTGAAAACTCTGAAGTGCTTGAGATAAACCCTGGCCTTTGCGCATTGCGTGATTTGGAAATGATGGCTTGAAACACCGTCAGTCTAGAAATCTATTTGGTTCCTGCAATACTCTGTTCTTCGCTACTTTGTTATCATGGTTATTCAGAACAAACTCCCGTTTGGATTTTGTGAAATAAAACAACCAACATCATGAAATCGCTACAAGCTAGCTCGTAGTCGTAGCTAGCTAGTGCCCAAAGAGATTTTGAAACCAGGAAAGTGAACATAGTTTACTGTAGCAAACCAGGAAAGTGGACATAGTTTACCGTAGCAAAGCGCTCTTCGCGCTACGGTGTGAGATGCACTTTCGTTCAGTAGGGGTGACAGTGCATGAGGTCAGTGTGTACAGGCCAGCAGATCTTGTAAAATGGGGTGGGCGTTTGCAGCGGACTTAATGGTACCGTACTGGCAATATATGTTGCCGCGTAACGCGTAACGCAGGGGGGTGTGGCGTAACGCGCGACCAGGCTAGTGCGACAAATTTTCGTTGACTTCGTAACGCGCGTCCGGCGGGGTGCGGCGATCTTTTCATTGCAGTTTGCACTGCAGAAAAAAGGCTGAAAACTGTGAAAGCACGTGTACCGCGTGGTGAAAAGTTCAAAACTGGACGCAGCAGGAAGTCCTGACACTCGAAGGCGCATCATTCAGTGGTTGGCGATCTCAATGGTTTCTTCTTTCCCGAGGTTATTTTGCGAAGAAGAGCGATGTGTTTACCAGTTTCCTTGTGACAATGCAGAAGTCTCTACTCGCCTTCGGCGTGAAGAAAATCACGCCCAAGGAAAGTGAAAAAGGAAAGGATGAGGAGAGAAAGGAGACGAAAAACAGGATTGCTGCTGATCGTGCAAAGAAAGTTTTAGTGAAGCAGAAGAAAGTTCGTGAGCAAACGAGAAAGCGTGTTCGTCGGCACCGCCAAAATGATGCGGCAATAGCAAACAAGTGATGCGGCAATAGCAAAAAAAGGACTGCGGCAATATAGAAACCTGTGTAACGGCTCCTGTGCGACTTTGCATGTAACGCCCTGCGTGCGGCAAACATGTGCCAATGTAACGCTTCATGGCCTCACTGCGGCAACATATATTGCCAGTACGGTAATAGATAACTTGAAGCTGAGAATAAGATGGTTTAGTGAGTTGTGAGAGACACTCTGAATATGGTCTAGGTGACAGGGCAATCACGTGGGCCGCTGTGTTTAGTCTCTGTATTACCAGGCAGCTGTACCTGATTGGAAAGCAGTGTTTAATACATCACTGCATTACCAGTATGGCCGACTATCTTATCTGCTAGTGCATGGTGTTGGTGGAGTTAAGCAACAGCATGGCCAACTTGACTGGGTAGTTCATGGTGTTGGATGAATTTTTCACTGAGTGAAGCCCATGAGAATTCTTGCTCCATCATGCTTGTGACTAGATATGAGAGAACAACAAAGAGAGGGAGACAGAGGGGAAGAGAGACAGACAGACAGACAGACAGACAGACAGACAGACAGACAGACAGACAGACAGACAGACAGACAGACAGACAGACAGACAGACAGACAGACAGACAGACAGACAGACAGACAGACAGACAGACAGACAGACAGACAGAAGGGGTGGGAGTGGGGTAAAGGGCAACAGTAGAAGGGAGATCAGTAAGGGTCCATTCCTACTACAGTAATACAGTTTAAAAAGTTTTACAGACGGTTTTAGCGTGACAAGTCTCTTGTTCCATTCACATACGCCAGCAACTGATCTCCAGAAACCAGAGAGTACCACAAACACGACTCCCGGAGCCGATATTAATAAATTTTATTAATATTTTATTGGTGACAGTCAAATTTTCTTCAGACTTTTCCCGTTTGTCTCTTACCCTCAAACCAGATAAAATTGTATTATGATAATTATTATGACAGAAACTACTACAGCCAGGCATTTGTCTACACGTGCATCTGTTTCTGCCGCACTTTTCACGATGTGTTCCCCATTTGTCTATTCATAATAAATGATTTGGATACAATGATGAGAATGTGTGCCTTTTCTCTGGAGCGTAACCATTTTGGTGTTGACTTTTTTTCTTTTTTTTTACTGGGAACACAGCCCTACAAAGAGACATGTGGAGACAAACACAAAACAAGACACAGGGGATGTAGGGACGACGTGCCGATGTACAGGGAGCAACTCAACTGGTCAGAGGTCTCGGCGTTAGCGTTGCAACCTGGCATCGAAAAAGGGGGGGGGGGGTTGCATGGTCAAGTAGCAAAAATAATACTTTGGTGCGAGAAAGGGGCGCTAATATTGCACCAAATAATAGAAATACGTGTAATAACTAAACCGGAAGGGAAAAAGAAATAGAAATAATCATAACAAGCAAAGTAATAGTAGAAAGGTAAATGGGTCTCAATATCATCGTCACAGGTACTGTGTGGACCACAACCATCTCTTTCGGATTAGATCCTTACATACGTTGACCTTGAAGTGTCACGTCCCTGAACGTGACGACTGCTGTCTGATAGTCCTGTGACAGCAGGATCTACATAATGAGCAGCTCTGTGCTGAGCTGTCACACCCTTTTAGTACAACGTGGTTTGGCCAGTGTCTTGTCCCACGTGCTTAGCATGTAGGTTGAGCGACACGCGCTTTCCCACGTAGGTGACATGCCTTCTTTGCATGACACGTCATGTGATCCGAGGCCGGAACCTGGTCAGGTAGGTTCTCGCGTTGTACGTTTCCTGGAAGTGCTTCACTTCCTGGAAATGTGACTCCAGGCTTTGTGCAAAACCACGTCACTACGACGTTCTACAGGTTTCCACGATGCCTCGGCGCTTCGTGCAAAGATTAAGAGCCAAGACTAATATGACATTGTATAACAATAGCTAAGTGCAAGACAGGAGACGTGTGCAAGAACCAAAACCGTCACCGCGCAAGAGGTCAGAGTATCACGCAAGCAAGACCAAGAATGCAGCAGAACTTACCATAAGAAGCCGCTGAGGTATGGCACGTTGGGTGAGTGGGCTCCCCAATGTGACCCTCATATACTCACATTGTACTCTGACGTGGGTGAGCGGGCTCCCCACGTCCCAATTTGGTCTTTCTTCTCTTGATGTCTTTCTTTCTCTTTCTTCTCGAATGATCACCGTACGTATATTCTGCATTTCTGCTGACTGGCTGTGCACATTCCGGTTTGACTTGTTCTGCTATTTCCTGGAATTACCTCGCAATGATCACGCCATATATCTCTGAAGCACCCTATAAAAGAAGCTCTCATTCTCTCTTTTACTTCAGTTTTTAGTCTAGTCTAGTCTAGCAGTCGAGACTCGGTCTCAGCTCTCTGTCTTCATTTACTTTGAGCTCGGATTATGATACTACTCACAACGTAAAACTAACAGTCTTTGTCTGTTGATCGTGTGGGGTTGAACTTGGACCAAGCCAGCTAGCTATATTGGTTGGCCCCTGGGTTGTGTTGGGCTTTTCGTGAGGCCACACGTCTATATTCAGTCGCCGCTCGTAGTGATTTCGGGGTCCGGTCACTGTGAGCCGGGGATGCGACATTATCCTGGTCACAGCACCAAATGTCGCATCCCCGGCTCACAGTGACCGGACCCCGAAATCACTACGAGCGGCGACTGAATATGGACGTGCGGCCTCACGACAAGCCCAACACAACCCAGGGGCCAACCAATACAGCTGGCTTGGTCCAAGTTCAACCCCACACGATCAACAGACAAAGACTGTTAGTTTTACAGAAGAAAGAAAGAAAGACCAAATTGGGACGTGGGGAGCCCGCTCACCCACGTCAGAGTACAATGTGAGTATATGAGGGTCACATTGGGGAGCCCGCTCACCCAACGTGCCATACTTCAGCGGCTTCTTATGGTAAGTTCGCTGCATTCTTGGTCTTGCTTGCGTGATACTCTGACCTCTTGCGCGGTGACGGTTTTGGTTCTTGCACACGTCTCCTGTCTTGCACTTAGCTCTTGTTATACAATGTCATATTAGTCTTGGCTCTTAATCTTTGCACAAAGCGCCGAGGCATCGTGGAAACCTGTAGAACGTCGTAGTGACGTGGTTTTGCACAAAGCCTGGAGTCACATTTCCAGGAAGTGAAGCACTTCCAGGAAACGTACAACGCGAGAACCTACCTGACCAGGTTCCGGCCTCGGATCACATGACGTGTCATGCAAAGAAGGCATGTCACCTACGTGGGAAAGCGCGTGTCGCTCAACCTACATGCTAAGCACGTGGGACAAGACACTGGCCAAACCACCTTGTACTAAAAGGGTGTGACAGCTCAGCACAGAGCTGCTCACTATGTAGATCCTGCTGTCACAGGACTATCAGACAGCAGTCGTCACGTTCAGGGACGTGACAGAAGGTTTGGAGGCGCCTTGAATGAGGTTCGTGAAGCAGGAGGTCCGCAGGCAGGTTGTTCCAGGGTGTGATGGCGAAGAAGGGGAAGGATCGCAGGAGGTAGTCAGAGGCTGTGCGAGGGGGTATCCACTTCAGCTGGAAGCCATGGTGCGTCTGACGTTTTTGCCGTGTGCACATGCTAGCTACGGCAGGGGGCTTGGTTGGTGGCAGCATGACCTTTACCTGGGGGGGGGGGGGGGGCTGGAATGTAGTGCAGCTTGTACAAGTATGACAGGCCGGCACCATCCGGCGGAGCTGAAGACTTTGGAGGATGGTTCCAGGTCCCAGGAAATGCAGGGCACATTGCTGTACCTTATCTAGCTGGGCCATGTTAGTTGTGGCTGCGCTCGACCAGGCCAGTGGGGCATATTCAAGTAGGGGTCGCACGAATCCCTTGCAGACTGCCACTCGACCATGGTCGTCCAGGATGGGTGCTGCCTTTCGTAGAAAGCCCAGCCTTTGGGAGGCGCGCAGTGCAACACTGCGAGTGTGCGCTCTGTAGGAGAGAGTAGGGTCGAGCATGACTCCCAGCAGCTTCAGGGTATCTGTCTCCTGGAGTGCTTCACTGCCAAAGGTGACTGGTGGAGTGCAGGGGGAACGTGCTTGCGATGTAGAGCCATGCGCTGCGATTGTCAGTCATCACCTCCCGCCAGCCTTCGTCTTTTCCTTTTGAATTCAATTTTTCTGCCACCAGGGCATACTTTCCAGACGCCTTCAGCGTGGATCCGCTTGAGCAGAGCCACATCGGCTCGCACACCCTCATCAGATGGTTCTAAATTTCGGAGGTGAAAATAACGTAGGCATTCTCGAGCACTACCGGCTACAGGCGTCTCAAGTCAAGGTTGACAATAGCTCAGAGGTGAAGGACGCTTGAAGCTCAAATTATAATGTTGAGTAGTTGAAAGTTGAAAGTTAGCGGCACAGTGCAGGAAGTAGTGTTTTTACTACTCACTGGTGCAGTGTTTTGTACACGTCGTCATGGCACTGGTGCTGTACTTACTGGTGCATTTCCCACAGTAAAAAGGTTTCTGAGCCCCCCCCCCCCTAAAAAAGGGTCGGGAAAATTCTACTGCTATTACTGCCGGGAACGTCACGTGGGCGCGAGTTTCGAAAACTGTCATGACGACTTCCCCTATACTGCTGCTCTATCCCGTGATATGAATGCGGCCTAAGGGGAGGGGGCTCTTGACAGCTTTTGGTCGTTAGGTTCTTTTGTGATTGGAAAATCTGTTGTGCTTGATGCATGCTGCCATTTTCATTGATTGTTGCTGCTGTGGCTGCTACTGCTGCTGCTGCTGCTGCTGCTGCTGCTGCTGCTACTGCTACTGCTACTGCTACTGCTACTGCTACTGCTGCTGCTGCTGCTGCTGCTGCTGCTGCTGCTGCTGCTGCTGCTGCTGCTGCTGCTGCTGCTGCTGCTGCTGCTGTGGCTACTGGTGTGGCTGCTGATGTGACTGCCTCTGCATTATTGTTGTTTATTGCGATGCAGCTGCCATGGTTGAGGACATCATTGGTGGCAAGGACGAGGCCAGCGTGCTACGCGTGCGTATGTACCTTATTGGCAAGTACGCCACAGGAAAGTCCAGCTTTGTCCGGGCACTGCTCGGTGAAGAGTTCATTGAAAACGCGAACTCCACCGAGTCCATTTCCATCCATCGATCCAGATTCAGAATGCACCTCTCCTCTCCAACCGCCACAGGCACACAAGAAGCGGCACAAGTTCTTGTGGACAACAGTCAACATAGTTTCTTTGCCAATCTTCTCACAGCTCGTATCCGATCATCTCTAGATCTGGTCAAGAAAATCAAGGAGGCTCCAGAGATACCCATCGCTCTACCCATTGCCCCACAACCATCTGCATGGTTCAAGCTCAAGGAATTCGCCACGTCACTATTTCACGGCACTACCACGTCACCACTTCCAAATACTGCTTCGTTTACTGTCCTTTCTGCGTCCGCTGTCAACAATGAGTTTGCCTATGTTCCCCACGCTAAGGACCTGACCAAAGTGGCACCAGATGTTATCTCTCAAGTTCGCTCGTCTGTCAGGAATGTCGATAACAGTTCAAATGAAGCAGAAGCAGCATATGCGTTTGTTGAGCTGTGGGACATGGGTGGACAGATGCCGATGTTGGTACAACAAAGCATCTCGTTTTCAGTTTGTGACAGCGTGTACATTGTGACTCTTGACATGAGGTGTGGCCTGGATGAAGAGGTAACGGAAGACGTCTACCGCTTTGATGGACAGGAGATTGTAACTTCCACACCGTTGCCAGGAATGACGCAGGCTGACTACCTTCACATGTGTCTGTCACTGATTGCTTTGCAGCATAGGGCAGACACCACACCCACTGACCAGCAGCAGCCGCAGCCAGACACAGAGACGGGTAAGAGCAGTAGCAGCGATAGCAGCCACCATCATGATGAGAGTAGCACAGCCGTCATGGTTGTTGTTACACATGTGGATCTTGTCGAGGACAACCATATAGAGAAGAAGAAGGACATGTTCGTCAATGCCGTGTCCAAGCTGACTGAAATGGCCGGACCCAAAGTCAAGATCTGTGGACCCTTCTTTGTTGACAATCACCGTCTTCAAGATCAAGTATCGCGCCACAGCCAGCTCGCAGAAGCACAGCAAGAGCTCTCTAGAATTGTGTCTGCCTTTCCCGTCCAAGCAATTCCCTTGATGCAAGTGAAGATAGAAGAAGCTATTTCTCTTCACCGGAAGATAATGCTGCGCTCTGCAATGGCTGGGTGCAGTGATGATACAATGCAAGCTACCAGTAGTGATCAGCAGCAGCAGCAGCAGCAGCAGCGGCAGCAGCAGAGTTTTGTTAGTATGGACTACCCACAGTTTGTAGACTTTTGTCGGCATGTTAGCGGCAAAGATCTCACCACTGCACAAGTGTCTGATCTACTGCACCGCCTTCAGCAACATGGCACAGTGTTTTGCTGTGACTGCCCGCATCCACTCACTTCAAGTGTCATTTTCCTTGAACCCCAGCAGCTGTTACTCGACTTTGTACGCTTGATGACCTTCCCTCTGAAGGAGACAGCTTTTCCAAGCACCTCAGCAACATTAGTCAGAGAAGTGCAACACTTTCGACGTACGGGAATTGCCAGCGCGAGGTTGATAGAGGAAGTTTGGTATCCTCTCAGCCGTGTTGTCCAGCTAGCTCTCTGCAAAGCCATGTGTTACTTCAACCTGGCAGCAGAACTTCAGCCCGCCAGCAGTGCAGCCACCAGCAGTACAGCCACCAGCAGTACAGCCACCAGCAGTACAGCCACCAGCAGTACAGCCACCAGCAGTACAGCCACCAGCAGTACAGCCACCAGCAGTACAGCCACCAGCAGTACAGCCACCAGTAGTACAGCCACCAGCAGTGCAGCCACCAGCAGTACAGCCACCAGCAGTACAGCCGCCAGCAGTACAGCCACCAGCAGTACAGCCACCAGCAGTACAGCCACCAGCAGTACAGTCACCAGCAGTACAGCCACCAGCAGTACAGCCGCCAGCAGTACAGCCACCAGCAGTACAGCCACCAGCAGTACAGTCAACAGCAGTACAGCCACCAGCAGTACAGATACCAGCACCGGAGGGTGTGGCAGTAGAGTCGGCGGCAGCAGCAACAGCAGCAGCATCAGCAGACAAGACAGATGTCCGGTTGTCACGTCAGGCCTACCCGACCTCTTCATCCCGTTCTGTTGCAACCAGGAAGCATTACGGTTGGTTTTGGAGGATGATGTTCCCTTTAAGCTACCGTTTAACCACCTCAGTTTCCCTGGGATGCTGTTTCCTCCACCACTGTTCGGTCGCTTAGTCACCTACATAATTCATCGTATGAAGAAAGAGTCAGCCAGTCTTCAGTTCATATCCAGTGCGGTATCACTGAATTTGGAGGTTGGTTGTAGTCAAGTATGCCTCTGCTGGACACCGACAGGTGTTCGCTTAGAATGCGCTGCTGATACAACATCCATACTTGCTGATGTGGCTTGGGATATGAAGAGTGCAATTGTTGACTTCACACAAGTTCTCAGCACCCAAGGGTACCAGCAGTTCACAGTTGTTGGTGAGTCATTTGCCTGCACTTCCACATCATGCCAGGATCGCCTGAAGGAATGCAGCAGTCCTGCAGAGGTGCTGGTACACTCGTCGTGGGTGTTGCTGACCAGCTTGCACAAAAAGCATTTCTTGAAGGCATACGAGTCAGATATGAACACCGCTCTGACCTTCAAGGCTACGTGTGCTACCTGCAAGGAGAAGGTCATTGTCCCGAGGTCCTTCTGGCCCTGGCTGCGTAAGGATGTGCCATTTGTCCAAGCTGAGGTGAGTTGTGAAGATTTTCTTACACTGTCTTATATGGTTTCAGCATACACTTGAAATGTCAAGCTGATAGAATAGATACTTTTGCTGCTATATATCCACACCCTCATGTGACCGTGATCATGTGACGATGATCATGCGACCGTGATCATGTGACTGTGACCATGTGACTGTGATCATTTGACTGTTATCATTTGACTACGATCATGTGACTGTGATCATGTGACTGATGAAGTGACAGTGTGTCTTTTGTAGTTTTCATTATCTTTTCAAGGAGGAGTATATTCTTTACAGTAATACTCGATAGAATTCTACTTCGTCAAAAAGCTAGCATAGGATTGCAATGCACTACAAACACAGGGGAGATATTATTTTACGGTATACGTCTGTGGAATGGGCCTGACTGAACTTTTTCTTGTCTATGTTTCTTGCCTGCATATCTTTGGGTTTATAAAACGATTTCAGCAGCCACTATCAGCACCATCATCATCAGCAGCAGCAGCATTAGCACCCGCAGAGGCAGTTTCATCAGTGCCAACAGCAGCACAAGGAACAGCAGTGCCACCAGTACATTTTGCTGAGCAGTCTACAGACGTTGCAGCCAGCAGTCACTTCGTGGAAGCTGCTTACCCGGACGGTAATCCCTGCATGGAATGCAAGCAAGGTATCCAAGTTCCCAGCAACTCGCATTGCTGGTTCAATGACACGGAGTTCAAGGTAAGAAGTTAATGGATGTCTCCTGTTTTCCTGTGTGCGGAATGAATGTTTGTACCAGTGGTTGTTTCAAGCACGCTTGATTTTCAAGGAAGCTACATTTGTGGTAGGCGTAATCCGACCCAAAGTGCAGGTTTTGGCATCATCATTTTTGAACTTTACCTGGAGGTCATTGCTCTGGAAGTAGTACAAGAGCTCCTGGGTACTAAGAATCTTTAGTCTGCACTCTGTCTGCATGCAAGAGGTACTCTGTGTGTGCAGAGATTCAACACAACTTGTTTGAGTGCTTGTGCAATGATACGTTGGAACATGTTCAGGGTGCCAGCTTGATACTTAGGGTTGGATTTCACCACTCTCTCATAAATTATGTCGACTTGAGAATTTGGAATGGATGGCGATTGTTAAATGGACTTTTGTATTGGGCACTGCTTCAGAAACTGATTCTGCATCACTGTCCGGTCTTTTTGAAACTTTCGTGCACAGTTGGAAGGACGGAGTAACAAGGATGCAATAGTTGCCATATCAGTAAGTGTTCGATGCTTTCACACATGACTGGACAAGGACTTTAGTATTGCTTTCACATGACCGGCAATATCGTCCATTGATTTCTTTTTGTTTGCATGGTAACTGACACACAAGCAATGCTCATTGTGATATTATGTAACTGTGGGATACTATTGCTTGCTGTATGTGAAGTGGTGGATATTCCATGATTTAAACAAGGCAGATTGAAAGGAAAGCAATTTTTAGCAGTTGGAACTTTAGGAATGCGGTGCATGTCAAGAGGCAGGATGTTCCATTAAATGGACTCTCGAGCGGATGGACGGGCATGCCACCTCTTACAGGTGGATGGTGGTCGCCGTTTTCCCGGGCCGTGTTGGGTGAGCGTTTTTCTTCTTCTTCAGATAGCTCTGCACACCAACCTACATTGCAGTGCACCGCATGTGTAACACTAATGCTATAAAGGCGCACAGTTTCGAAGTTGTCCATTTACAAGGAGGACGAGAAGACAAAGGCAGTGCGAGTATGTGCACAGCTTACCATGTATACCTACGCTGTACTATTTATGTGATAATGTGCGTATACTATACATGTAGTACTTGCCTGGCTGTCATGCAATGCCATGTCAGGAGAACTACTATCTGCTTGCACAGTTCTGCCAGGGAGTGTACAAGTGTGGACAAGAGAGCATAGTTTGGGTGCTTGTTCGAAGTAGCAGCCAGATAACGACTTGCGCAGCTCAGCTAATTCATGGCAGAACAGTTTGTTTTGGTGAAGGTAGCTAGAGAATGACCCCCCCCCCCCCTTACCCGGACAAATTTGACATTACGACTGTCTTTATTTACAGTTCTCTGCATTGTAGGGGCAAGGCAACGGCGAGGTCTCCAAACACCTTCACCCTAGTGTTAGGCTCTCTTCTGTACAACATTAATATGCCAGCCACGCATTGATATGCTTTTGCCCATGTGTCTCATGTGACAATCATCAGAAATTGTCATCAAACTGAGAGTTGGACTACAAAGGAAAGATATTATTTTATATTTATGAAAGTGAAGTGAGCACACTCATACCACGAGAACAATGGAACAATATTAATTTTTAAGATTTGAACGTCGTTTTCTTGTTATTATCATCAGAAATCATCATCACACTGAGTGTTGGACTACAAAGGAAAGATATAATAATTATATGGTAGAGGAGGGGGTTTCAAATAGGAACAGTTTGACAGCAAAATTGTATAGACCCAAACCAATCATCAGTGTGGATTGTTCACTCAAAATATGTTTGTGGAAGGTAGCTGGCATATTGAAGTTTGCTCTGAGGCCAGAGTCGATCGAACTGAGCCACTCCTTTGGGTTGGCCCGTTGCAAAAAAAGAAAAAAAAAGTTGCCCGATTTTTCGTTTCAAAATGTTGGTGTCACAGAGGTTACTCCAAACAGGGACGTGCAATGGAGTGCACGTCAAGTTCACACCGCGTTCTGAAATTAGGTAATTGCTATTGCTTCACGGTGGCCAGTACAAAGAAACACTGCGCCTTGTGTGTGCTTCCATTAGTTTTCATTGGTACACGGTGCGACAAGAAGTCTATTTTTCGAAAGGCGTAAAAACTCAAGTCACAGTGCGAAGCAACACGTCAAAAACTTACCTGCTTGGTATGGCGCTTCTGGTCATCGCAGAGCCATGAACCTTTGGCTCGGAGTAAAACACATCGCAGTCTCACTGTGACATGTTTTGTAATCAAAATACCAAGAGAGAAAGCGAATATTTTTTTACCTTTCCGGTTTGAGACATATCTCCTATTTGAAACACCCGCCTTTACAACAAAAGTGAACATTATCGGATCTTAGAATAGAAGAAATCACATGGAAACGAGTTATGAAGCAACTATCCACGACTGTAACAAGACGATAAGCAGTCAGTAAGTGCGATAACAGGGCACAAAACTGACATGTTACTGTGACATTCTACGACCTGGGACCTAACTCTCACACACCTCCAGTGCGCAAACCAACAGCCTGGGAAGAACCTACAAGACTAGATAATATGCATGTTGGGCCAAGCCAGATACATCCACCAAGCATGTCTTGCTCTCCTACGCACAGCAGCTCGTAGATCATGTAGATACATGCATCATCCTGTGACAAATTTCATGCGCACCGCAAGCGTGCATGTATACTTGCAACAATTTTATTCACAAATAACTTGTATCAAGTAAGGTTTAGTTCATTCAGGGCTGTCTTCGTATCTCACCAACTTATCCAGCTGCGAAGTCGCCACAGAGTACTGAATCTCGTTCGGCACTCTCAGCGTTGCTGTCCGCGTCGTCATTTCGTGTCACGGAGCTCTCAAACTCATCGTCTGCGCTGCCTCCGCTGATGGCTTGTCATCTGAGCGAAACCTCTTCACTTTCACCTGATTCTTCTTGCGGGGACTATCAGTATCACAGGCAGCTTGGCAGATAAACTACAACTGCGACGACGACAAATTATAGTGAAGCCACCAAGAGGAAGGCACTTTCAAAGCGATAGCGCAAGAAGTCTTTTCGCTTTGATCGTGGTGACTAAAAAGCGACGTCGGTTCGGTTTTCGCGGATATTGGCATTTTGAAAAATCGACAGGACCCCGTTTCTTGCTCCGATGCTTATATCTTTCCTTTGTAGTCCAACACTCAGTGTGATGATTATTTTGACTGTCCCTCCAGGAATCCGCGGACAGAAAGTTGAAATTCTGCGCAGAATTCTGCGGCACAAATCGCTACATTATGCGGCGGATAGCGTGAATTCTGCGGCAATACTGCCGTATTTCTGCGGCGCTGCACTGGCGAAAAGACATGGCTATATGCTATGTACAAGTATCAATAAAAAATTTAGTGGTCGAAAACACACGATAGGCTCAATACAGTAACAAAGAAAACCCCCTCGACTTTGAATGCAACAAAATAGCGACAGGACACTGCACTGTGCATGTGCATGAATATGAAGCGCGTGCTCGCATTGCCCCCAAACCGTGATTTTTCACGATCTTTTTTTTTTAGTGTTTATTTGAATTCGGATAGCTCAACAGTACAGAAGTACAACTACAAAGAGTACCGAATAGAAGGCCCCGAGAACGGGAAACCAAAAAACCAAAACAAAAACAGCAACATCAATTTACTGATTATGCACATTGCTTGAAAGCAAATCACAACAATGATTAAGAGTTAAGCTGTCTTTTAGCCAAATAGCCAATTTGACGCAGGACTTCAGGTAAATAATTCCAAACAAGAGCCGATTTACTTGAAAAGGACAGAAAGCCAGACATAGATCTATAGCGATTGATTTGTTGAGCCGCGAGTAGTTCGGGTAGACGTACAGATGGGAAAGAGGGACTGCAAGCAAACAGCCGGCTTAATACAGTAACAGTGGAAAATGAATACAAGGAACAAAAATACTGATCGATATTGGAAAGAGGAAACATTGAGGTGGTGAAGAAGTGGCGTGATATTAGCTTGGGGTGATGCGCCACAAGCAACTCGTACAGCGCGCCGGTGGAGTGAGGCTAGCTTGTTTCTATTTTTAGTAGGGGTCAAAGGGGTGTACCGGGTACCCGGGTACCCGCCCGATAATCTCAGGTACCGTTAGTAAAAGGGTACCCGTTTGGATTCCGATGATCCAGTCAGTATGAAGCAACACTGCAGGGATCGTGTATTCCAGGCGGGAGTCAATTATTTACAACTCCATGCTGGATGTCTGCATTGTTGTTGCATTTTCGCACCTAGTAGATCTACATCTGCGACTATCAGACACCAATCAATTTGCGAATCACAATGTGATATCAAAATACAACCCGAGAACAGATAAACTATATCTTGATTAATGTGAAAATTGCGCAAAAAAATTAAACATGGCTGCTAAAGGGTACTCGTTAGCCCGTTCGTTAAGAAAATTACCCGTTCGTTAGTTAAAGGTACACCCGTTTGACCCCTAATTTTTAGCGGATATAAACGAAAGGTATACAGGGAGAGCATATTCTAGATCAGGCTGAATAACACCGACAACGAAAGTACAGCGGGCAAACAGGTTCATCTGGAGGAAAGATCGGCGCAGTACACCAATCTTCCGTGAGGCTTTCCGGACGACATTGTTAATGTGTTGGTCAAAGGACAGCTTATTGTCAACAATGACTCCTAGGCATCTGGTGCTTTCCACTTCCCCTAGTGTAAAATTTGACAAGGTGATTTGCAGTTGTTGCCTTTGTTGTTGTTGCTGACTCCCTGTGGCACGTTTGGGATGGATTTGCATGACAACGGTTTTGTCGGTATTTATCTGCATGCCAAGGGAGCCAAGGTGGTTGTTTAGAATCTCCAGTGCCGATGACAACTTGGCTTCGGAACGCACCTTCGACGGATCACTAGAGTAGACTGTCTTGTCATCTGCGAACATCAGTAATTTTGCTGTCTCCGCAAGCCGGGGAAGGTCCCTCAGGTAGACATTAAAAAGGGTAGGGCCTAAAATACTTCCCTGAGGAACTCCTCGAGACACTGAAAGACTTGAAGACTGGCTGGCTTGCGTGACGACACGCTGAAATCTCCCGGCGAGGTACGACGCAAACCAACGCACGGCACTTGCATGAACACCCATGCCATGGAGCGCAACGAGTAACTGTTGATGCTGGACGCGATCAAACGCCTTGCTGAGGTCGACAAAGGCTACACTGGTAGTCTCTGCGGGGTCCTGGGCCAGTTTCCAATCATTTACAGCAAGTGTGAGCAGTTCTGTCGTGGAACGAGCTGGTCGGAACCCAAATTGGTGATCGTGGAGGTGATTTTCGATGGTCAAACTGTCACATACCTGATTTAGAACCAGGCGCTCCAGAGTCTTAGCCAGAATCGACGTGAGTGACACAGGACAATAGTTCGAAGGAGAAGTAGGATCGCCCATGCGGGATTTCAATATCGGCGTGACATTAGCCAACTTGAATTGTGTCGGGAACACAGCAGTGCACAAAGAGGTATTAAATATTAGGGTGAGGGAGAAGGTGTTAACTGGTGCAACGGCCTTCAGGATGCTCGGGAGGAGACCATCTGGCCCAGGCGCTTTCGTACCGTCGAGTTTCTGAAGGTGCCGAAGTACCTCATCCTCAGAAATAGGGCGAAACTCATGCAAGTCACACGGTCTTGAGGTAACACTTGGAACAACATAAGCCGGGTTCGGATCTGACACAATACTATGGAAATACCTGTTCAAGGTATCTGCCTGGACGAGAGGCTCAGTTCTTGGGGTTGTGCGCCGGGTGACTGAGTTGATGGTGCTCCAAAGACGCCTAGGATCTCGCTGGTAATCGTCACAGATGGAGCGGAAGTGGGCATTTCGGAGTTGGCGATAAAGGTTATTGCCGATTCTGCGGTGAAAACTGTGAATTCCGCGGGATATTTTAAAAAACATGAATTCCGCGGAATTCCGCGGATTTTACCGCAGCCGCGGAATCGCGGATTCCTGGAGGGACAGTTTTGATGATGATTACATGAAAACGACGTTCAAATCATAACATATTGTTCCATTGTTCTCGTGGTATGATTGCACTCACTTTACTTTCATAAAAATTAGGTTTCTTGTCTCCATGCCGATTTTTTAAATATAATATTTGATGTATACAATAAATGTAGAGCTGAATGATTTATTGCAATGGCTTACCAGTATAAAAACCGAGTCCCCCCCCCCCCCCCCGAGGTTTTTATTAGTGGTGTGCACGGGTAGTCGGGTACCCGTGCTGCCCGTGAGGACCTCGGGTAGACGGGTACCGAATCGTACCCGAAAACCCGAAGTCGCAGATGACATGTAGAAAGAGTAGAGAGAGAGAAGTCTACCATGGTCTACAGTGCACGTGTGCAAATAATTCACGCATGTCTACCCAGTGACAGTGTGTAAGGGAAGGGGCCGGTGTGCATTGTGGTCTTACCATGGGAACATTACCCGATCGGGTACCCGTGCTACCCGTGGAAAACTACCCGGACCCGATACCCGAAGAAAATGCTACCCTACTCAGCCCTAGTTTTTTATAACTGGTATGTAATTGCAATAAATCCTGAGGCTACTACATTTTATTATACATATGTTGACCTGCACTTTCCCTAAAAGGAGTATTTTATAAACAGTGTTTATTGGCCTTAGTGGTATTATATAAACAGCAGCGAGCAGTGTGAAAGCAAGTGTAGATTGAAGAAGTGCAGATGAGAAAGGTACATGTATGTGAGTGGGTATGTGAGTATTGGTACTTGGTCCGACTTATTAAAATGTGCGCTTCACTTCAAAACTCAAGCATATGTACAAAGGAGCACCTGCACTAAAAAATCAACCAAGAGACGGTAGATAGATAAGTACAACGTCGTTTCTTGGCCTGACCTTCTAGTTTTCATCGCTGCTGGTGTCTCTGGGCGCATCTGCAAGTGTGCCCCCTGCAAAACGTCGACATTGTTTCATCTCCTCCAAGCTACGCTGCGCTTCCTTGATTGTTTCACTCCACAGGCACGACTTACTGCCTCCTCCTTGTGCAGTACGACTGCCAGAATCGTGGCTGTAGGTGTTTTCGCCTGACGCTCCCACGACACTTTCAAATGAGGCGAACAAGTACACCACCACGCATAAAAATCACTTCTGATCACCGTGTGCCGCGCACATACTGAGTCTGATCTGTGTCGACATATCATGCAGTCAGACCATGCGTGCTCTTCCCTGTTTTACGAATCCACTGGCCCCGGAGACGGGCAATCTTGTGACGGAGCTTTAGCATAAGCTTGACGTAGCGATGACGCATCGCGATCGCGGCTCCGAGAACTCAGCAGTCCGCACCATTCACGCACCTTATCCGCAGAATAATTCACCCTTTCTGCGCTTCAGTTTTCCAGCCAGGTTGTCGTCTAAAGCTGTGTTCACAACTGGCGCGTGTACGTGTGAAACCACGCGTTTGTGCGTATTTTTGCTGGCTTTTGGGGCGCCATGCGTACGGAAACGCGCCGAAATGGAACTTCCAACATGTTGGAATTTTCAGCGCGTATCAGGCGCGTACCAGCGTACATGCCAGTTACCTTGACTGGCGGGGTCAACAAATTAGTACTCGAAGGTGTCGCACGCGCTAATTACGACTCGGATTGCTGTTTTTTGTGAAAGCCTGAGCGCGCATTTGGGCACGCATGAACCGCAAGCGTACCGCGTGCACGCGCCAGTTGTGAACACAGCTTAAGGCTGTGTTTACATGAGAAATTTCAACCCGGGTCGAGTTCAGCCCGGGTTGAAAGTCTGTACGATAGACAAAAGAGGTGAGCGTTTACATGAAGACAGTTGACCCGGGTCAAATACTGATATGCCGCCAAAAGTCCACTTCTACAGTCCTGTATGGTCACGTGAATCCGTTCGCGCGAAATTTGCATCTGCAGTGCTTTTCAAACCTGGCGCTAGATACGCACAGAAGTACGTTTGTACGATTCTCTTGACCCGGGTTGATTTCAACCCTCCCCTTGGGGGGAGGGTTGAAATCAACCCGGGGCGAAATTTCAACCCGGGTCAAGCGCAATGCGTCATGTAAACGCGCCATTCATTTTGTGCACATGGCGGGTTGAAATCTGGCCCGGGTCGAACTCAACCCGGGTTGAAACGCTTCATGTAAACACAGCCTGAGAGGCGACCTCGGGGTCGGTTATTTATTTCGATCAACTTCTCGGCGATATCTTCTGTGATCTTGTTTCGTCGGCCGCCACATCGTGAACGACTGCGAGAGAGATCAGCAAACTGGACGGAGCGATGCTGGTGCTTGCTGCACGAGTTTCTGGATGACGCGTATGCTGAAATTCTGTCAAGGAAACAACGACTGCAGCGATTTCAATCTGCCAGAAGCCTTGCACTCGAGACCGATCGCCCAGGAGTTTCTGGTACTCCGTGACAATTCTCCATTGCATTGGGGTGTTGATTTCAGCACCAGGCCTTCTCAGTGTTGCGCGAGAAGCAACAGGATCTACAGTCCATTTCAAAACTATAGACGCGTACCTAGGCAAAAACCGTTATGCCAGCATCTATACCACATAAAATCTGTGATCACTTTGTGCATAAATTTTTCCAAATTGGGCGTCTGTTATCCAATCGTTTAGAAACTATAGAAGAGTAATTGTGGAGCGGTCCTGAGCAATACTCCGAAAACTATTCTCAAAAAGTTCCAGCCAAATTTGAAATATTTCAAAAACCCTACGCGTCTATAGTTTTGAAATGGACTGTAGGAGTCCTCTGACAAAAAAATTTCGACGCGAAATGCTCGAGTCGACTAGGATTTTGAGGCGCTGCCTCCTTTGGAGTTGGAGCTATTTCTTCTTCGACATCACAAATCGACAACTGAAGGACTGCCTGGAAAGTTTATTCCGTCCTGAGACTATTTGAATTTGTTTGGTTGACGTTCGAAGCGAAGCGCACATTTTAATAAGTCGGACCAAGTATGCGAAGAGTGTGAGTGCTGTAACGAAATCTAATTCTAATTCGATTTCTAATTGGAAAAATACAGAGGCAATATGCTTTGGTTCTGCAAGAGTGCTCAATGCCTGATTCAGGCAGAGCGGCGTACACAAAGGCAGACAATGAAAAAAATAATAATGTTCACTTCATGGTACCATAAATATCATTCCTTTGTAGTCCAACACTCATTATGATGAAGATTTCTGAGGATTATCACATGAAATCGCCGTTCAAATCCTAAAATATTGTTCCATTGTTCCGTGGTATGAGTGCGCTCACTTTACTTTCATCGATATTAGGTTTCTTGTCTCCAAAAAAAAGAAGCCTTTGGAACTTCGCTAATACTTACTTGATTTTCATTAGGGATGAACCAACTGACCTAAATTCCTTACCATTTGATTCAAATCTATCGACTGATTTATAATTCTTGTCAGTTTTTTCGCGTTGGCATCAACAAGCAACGTTGGCTAGCCCTCGCATAAGCCAAATAAAATCAAGAGATGAGGAACGAGCTGACCATCGCATTGCCCTCATGCATGACGCACAAACACAGCTCATTATACCTTCACATACATGCTCGCCCACCCATATACCAGCAACAGGAGCGCATTGTAGGTTTCATCGTTCAAACAGGCCCACGCCGTATGCATTTTTCACCAGTCTACATGTACTTCCGGGTATGTTTAGACATGAATTTTTTAAACAATTGTACGAGTTGTTTTTAGGAATGGGTTTGCTCCCACACTGGAGCTCGCGCTAACGTTATTCCGCCGACTTGAATTGACACTTGACTGACTCATGAGTCATGACTGCAATCCGGAGCACACGAGAAGTCCATCGAACCTTCGACTCAACAACAAACCTGCAAGAAAGCACCACTCCCTGCTCAGTACACAGTGTTTCGGGCGAGCTCCAGAGTGGGAGCAACCCCATTCCTAAAAAAATCACCGCCGAAGTCGCAACCACTATTTCGAATTGTGCGAGTTGATAAAGGTTTTCATCCATCGAGTCAACATTATCGGCTGGCCAGTAAACTTATGGAATCAGTCGCTCTACCCCTCATGAAATATAAGAATATTTGCCCGTGCCCCCCCCCCCCCCCCAAGGTAGTACGGTGCTTGGCATGAGATGATTGTATGTCTTTAGTGGATTTTCTCCTCCCTTGCATTGTTATTTGTGGCACCAGGCTCTGTCGCATGCTAGCCCAAATGATTCTGATCTCGAGGCGGTAGTTGACAGGCCTGAAGAAGTCTCCCTGGACTCAGTCGATGTCCAGGTTGAAGATGTAGCTCCTGATGAGAGCCCTGAATACCGATATGTGTCGGAGGTGAGTTTGAAGATGTTCAGCATTCTCTCCTTCCAGCACGAGAATAGCTACTGGCAGCCTTGTGCTCAGACTGCTTAAGTAGTAAGTTATGGTGCGAGCGTGGTGCCTTGGTTGTCTCTCTCCCTTTTCACTTTCTTCTCTTCTGTTCATGTTCTTTTGCTTGTGCGGGTGGGATTCACATGTAGATCTACATGTTGCTGACTGCTGAAACATCCCCGGCTAGATACACTATGCTATAGACTATACATGTAACGGTATATTCATAAGTTTACTCAATCTGCGGACAGAACTGTTTCGTTCTTCGTGGACTCATCAGCGCAGCACAGAGGAAATGAGGCCCGGAACCTGATAGCAATGAGAAATAAATTTTCCAAAGCCAGATTTAAACAAGGCCCGAACGTCCCTTGCCAGAGTGCTCAAACTGACAAGTCAGTGAGCTCTGCATAAAGCAAACAGCAAAGGCACTACCCCACACAATAGTGCTCAACTACTACAAGAGCAGAAGCGAAATCATAAGTTTACATATAAGTACACATGTATCTTATGAATTATTGCACTCCAGAATCTAGGGTTTGTGGCTAATACCTGTTCTCAGCGCCTAGAATTCAGTGTAGTTGGATACATGTATATGTGTGCTGGATAGGACCTGTCCTATCAGTTTGAGGGAAGAGTGTACATGTACCTAGTATTGTGAACGGTTTCTCTATTTTGTCCAAGGCTGATACGGAGCAGATACCCATTCGCCGTGAAGGCACAGTGCTTTTCATGGAAGGAGGAAAAGTTGAGTTTCTTGCCGGCACAGTGAGTGATACCATCCACATATCGCCACCTGTCCACATGATGTTCCAAGGCACGCTACCAAGCGAACATGGTGATGGAGTTACGCTACATAGTGTAAGTGTGAGCTGAGCTCAATTCAACAAAAAGAGCACACGCATCAACAAACAATTTCAGTGTGATTGTTTTTATTGTCTCTGTTTGCATAAGTTGCATAATGTGGTGTCAAGTGTAGACTGCCTCGAGGACTTTAAATAAAAAATGAAACCTGAATATGACAGCAAAGTAAAATTAACAACTGGCTTCTTTTCTCTGAGTTCTGAATTATTTTCCACCATTGCCCATTATTCGTTGTCACATGTCGAATAAAGTAACCAAAATGTCACTTCAGCTTGTCCTCTTCATCAGGTTCCTTAGTTTGGTGTCTCTCTGCCGTTATTCAAACATCTGAATTCAACAACATTTCTTAGCATGATTGTCAGAGAGGAGGCATAACTATGGATACACTTTAGAGGACGGGAAGTTGTTATTCGTAACTTTCTAGCTTGAACGATCATCACACGTGCGTGTGCATGTGGTTTGGTTGTGACCTAGGCGGCGGCAGCATACATTATATTTTATACATGTAGCTTTCAGACACGAGCTTTAATGATAGCTTGCATGCCGTCCTACCGGTAGGACCCAAGAAATCGCGCTGCAAAAGTGCTTTTGGTTGAGAAATTTCTTGAAACAATTGTTGAGATGAGGTCTTTATCAGGCAAAGTAATGGCGCAAAATGCAAGGCTATGTCCAGTGCATTGCATACGCGCAATTTTATCAATTGTCAAAATGGCCGCACATACTCCTGTCGGAGCGCTAGCAACTCTGTCCAAAGTTAATTTTGACCATGGCACATCAATCGTGGTGAGGTACTAATGTTTGTATTAGTCTGCCAAGGCAGTGGAATGCATAATTTCATACACCGTTTCCATGGTTACCATGGGCTGTTACCATGGGATTTCGTAGTATGCCTTGTGCGATCACGTCTAAAATTTGTGGACTCCTTCATTAGCCCCTGAGCAACAGTTTAGGGTCAAGTTTTAGGTCAATGTTAGAACAGAGGCCGTGCAGCATGTCTGTGTATGATGGTCCTACCGGTAGGACAGAGGTCTATGCAAGCTATCATTAATATTCACCTTAGTCCAACAATGTAAGCGTGCCTGCATTGTGTTCGTAACTTTAATGTAGTCTTGTTATCTGATCCTGTCTGTACATGTACTAGGTCCACCTCACTGACCCTTGTTTTTTTCTATGCTGATGATAGCAAAGCGGAAATTGTAAATACTGGTGGACAATATAATTATATTTGTTTTTGGGGTTTTTTCAAATTGAAGTTTACACCAAGTTTCAGCCGAATCCGTGATGTAATTGCTGTCATAGAAACCTCTGAAAAGAAAACTTGATTGATCAGGAATAGAAGCACATTCAAATAAACTGATGTGTTATTCAGCAGCAGCGTGAGCTGCTGGAACTTCCGTTTGAGAAACGTCGATGTTCTGTGTTCACAAGTGTGAGGTAATGATCTTTCCGCTGGTGCACTGGTCGCGCTCACAAAGTATGTTGTGCATGATTCTTGTCTTAGATCGTGACGCGGAATCTCTTGTTTGGTCCGATGTCTGCAATTCAATTATCTTGATATGCTCAGGTGATGGCGTTTGCATCGCACGAAGCTAAATTTCGAAGACCAGTGCAGGTGGAAATTGACGTGCCTCGCATCGCTGAGACTGACCAGGTAGGTAAACCCTTTTAGTGCCATTGCGCTTACTACCGTATTTTCCGGAGTATAGGCCGCACCCAAAGTTTTGGTCGCGAAATACAAATATCTACTATATCTTATCTCAGTCAATTTGACCATGGTAGTGTAAGCCACACCAACTTATTTTGGTGAATTACTGGTGTTTGATTAAAGTACGGCTTATACTCCGGAAAATACAATACATGTCATTGTGTGACCAGCATACCGTGTCGGCAGTGCATGTTATGTTGACATTGGGCACTGAAAACATTGCCCTTTCAGTCACCAATAATTTTCATCATCCTAGGCTCCCTGTAAAGCTGAGAGTCTGTTGATTTGTGGTGTTCATGGCTGGGTAAGCACAAGAGAATGGACTACAAACACTTTGAAAGCCACTCCATCACGCCTTGGTAGTACGGTTCCAAACTCAGAGACAAATTTGTTTGATTCGTAACTGATGATCAACGTACAGCAACAATTCAAACACCAGCAGATTCAGGCTGTTGAAGCTCCCCGGCATTTTGGTGCCTGTCACGCATGGGCTGTGCACTGGGGCAATCCCCCTATTCAAACACTTCATACACCTTAGCATGAAATGCTTCACAATCACACTCGTGAATTGTCAACATTACCCGTATCCTACATTCTACATCTTACATCTTACATCCTACATCCTACATCCGTATCCTACCTTCGGCCCTTGCGTATATCAATCAACCCACCGTACTGAATGGTGTATCTTTGGAAAGCTATATTCCCTTGCTTTGAGTTCTCATGAGTTGAATTTAAAGCAGGGAGACTTGAGTAGCGTACACGGGAAGTAGAAATAAGAATGAGTAATTGACACTTCCAGACGAGCATCTATTTATTGCTACTTTGTTTCACTCATCCTCCGAGTCAGGCCGCTCCTCGCATTGTCCGGAATTTTACGGCTGCTAGTAAACGCAGAGTGAGTCTGATTTATTGTGAAGTAGCGAAAATTCGATCATTTGTGATTTTCTAAGCGACTATAAATACATGAAGCACCCTGCACACACCACGCTCAAAACAAGTAACCTTTTCGCTGCAAATTTCTATAAATACATGACAGAATGGTATGTGTTTGTGTGTCTGCTTGTTTGAGTTTTTCAGTACATGTGTGTGTGTGTGTGTGTGTGTGTGTGTGTGCGTGTGCGTGCGCGTGCTTGTGTGTATATTATATATGTGTGTGTATGTGTGTGTGTGTATGTGTGTATGTGTGTGTATGTGTATGTGTACGTGTGTGTGTATGTGTACGTGTGTGTGTGTATGTGCGTGCTTCTTCATGTTGCTTACAATATACTCTGTTGTGTTGTGTTTCGTTTGATAGATTTATCTTGTTCACTTTCCTGGCACAACACCGGAATCAGCTGAAGCCAGTGGTTTTTCTGAAACTAGACAGCTACCCACGTCGCATAAGTGCTGTACCGTGGTTCATGTAGGCAACTCAACGTGGACAGTGACTAAGTTGCCTGGCGACAAACCGTACGAAATACCAGCCAAGCAGGTTGACTTGAATGCCACCTTGGACAGACCTGAAGAAGACGAATGCCCATATTCAGGTATCACTGTGGACTATCAACGGAAGAAGATCTACTACAGCAAGAAGCACTTCTGCTATGATGGTGAGTATTGGCTGTTGCTTTCAATGGACATGTCGTGGCCTGGTTTGTGACAAAGATTGATCAATCTAGTGGCTAGCCAGGTAGACGACAAATAATTATAGGAACAATGAAGTTAGCGAGCTCAGACAGAACCACAGGTTTCCATTTCCACTTCAAACAATGTTTATTGGAAACATCGCAAGCTAGATCGAAAGATCAAGCGTCAGAGAGTAAGAGAGTAGTGCCTCTCCAAGAATGAGAGAATGAGCTCCCCGAGAATCGAGGATGAAGGCTGGCAGAACGGCCCCTTGTATGCAATATTATTATTATTATGTGCTATCAAGTAGGTACCAGTTGCAATAACACGTAGGTAATATTGCTACATTTCAAACAGTGGTGCAATCAGCGAAATTAGATAAATGATACAACGAACAATATTGGGAGCCCGCCAGCGCCCACCCAAATGTGAATATCAATCATCTCACAATAAGAGGACGGAGAAAGTGCTTTTACTCCGAGTTTCACGCACTAAGCGATCATCAGAAAACAGTAATTAATCATCTCCACATGCTGGTTTTGCTACGGTGTGCTGGGTTGCATTGCAGTAGGCAGGTATAGTAGCTGTGTTGCTCTTGTAGCTTCATTGTAGCTTCGCCCAATATGGGCTCTTCTCGCAAACATGCACAGATACATGGCAGAGCTACTTTCCCTCCAGAAGGGTACGGCATTCACAACTCGACACTGTGAACTCTTTATGTTTTGTCATGTGAACCTGTGTGTCTATATAGTGTACTTCGAAGTATGTACATGTACATGCATGCATGTGTGTACTCGTATGCTTTACTGCCACAGACCTGTTTGTCTGTTTGGTGTGCGAACATGTACGTGCATGCGTGTGTATGTGCTTTCTTGCTGCGAACATGATTGTGTGTCTCCGTCTCCTACATCTAGTCATCTACACGTACGGAGAAGAGCTGAGCCTGGAGCAGATCGGAATGCTGCCGTGCACGGATAAGCTCAAGGCCTGGCGCGTGTGGGTCTACGGCGAGAAGATAGGAGACCGAGATCCAGCGCACCTGCACATCATGGCCATTCCTGCCTACGGACCATTCCTGGAACCGCCTCCGAAGCTGCTGTCGCCGCCAGATAGAATGTCCCAGCTGGCGCGCTCGCGGTACTATTTCCTGCTGAAAGAAGGCGATTCGATCTCGTACAAATTCAAGGTGTACCCGGAAAAGGACTGGCAGCCCGCCTGTGTGGAAAATCCGCCGACGTTCTACAAGCTTGAGTCATCTGCTCGTTTCGAGTCTCGCGAGGGCACCGGAGGGGGCGGTAGTGTTGGACCGCCAGGGGTTCTCGAATGTCGCTCCTGCACCGACCAAGAAAGCATAGAACATGTCCAAAATGGCAAGCAGAATGGCGCTGGAGCAGAATCGGGTACGGACGACAAGCTGAAGGTGGTCAAGCGCTGCACCATTCCGGTAACATTCACATACGAGAGGTCTCTGCCAGGAGGTGAGCAAGACACAGGCCTGTGCGCGTGTACGTGTGTGTGTATCTGTGTGTGTATGTATGTGTGTGTGTGTGTGTGTGTGTATCTGTGTGTGTATGTGTGTGTGTGTGTGTGTCTCCCCGCGACATCGTCTCGGGCTCCGTGCCGGGCGGCGGTGTCTACCATTGCTGCTCAGGCGACTCCTCCGCCGCCGCGTGTACGGCTCGCCCTCTCATGCTGCAAGGCCCACTGTGGGGCCTGTGGTTGGTGCTGCCGCTCTACTCGTGGATTCCAAATCCATAGCTGCCAAAGATGGCTCTCTCGTTGTGCCGATTGAACATGGTCCCTGATCTCTTGGCAGACTGCCGACTTTCTGCCGTCGCTCGTCGTTTCCATGTTGTCGGCCCCGCAAGGGGACCGTAATGGCAGTGTTTACCAGGACCAGGTGTGTGTGTATGTGTGTGTTGGTGGCCTTGCCAGCCACTGCAGCGAAGAGTTGTATCTCGCACAGACACGAGGAGTTATTTCTGCAGTCCATTTTCAAAAATGACTGTTTGACGTTATGGTTCCAAGTGAGCGGAATTCGCAGTCGCGAATGGGAAACAGCCCGCGGACGAACTCCATGCAGGATAGAGCTTCGCATGTGACCTCTTGGAGTGTCAGAACGCTCGTGGAGGACAGTGGAGATGCCCGAATTTGCCGAAAGCGTCCTCAGAATTTGAATTTGAATTCGTCCTGTACAGTCGACAGAAAATTTGATTTGTTGGTGGACGAGCTGAAATGCTTCTCTGTATGCGTCGCTGCCATTCAGGAGATGAAGTGGTTCGGGAGTGATGTCTGGACGGCTGGTGAATTCACGATGGTGCATTCGGGACGTCCTCTCGAGTCTACCAAACGACGGAAGTAAATTTATTCGGAACGAAGGTGTTGGAATTGTGATGAGTCGTACGATGTCGGACGCGTGGGGGTACGCGCGGGTCGGGAATGGTGTGCAGTCAGCTCTCGAATCGTCACCGCCAGATTCAAACTACAGGACTCGGGTACAAAGTCATCATCGCGATGCTGGACGCGTCGACGCGGCGCTTGGATTTGTTCATGACTATTGTGAATGTTTACGCGCCAACAAGTAAAGCAGGGTTGGATGTGAAGAACCAGTTCTGCGATGACCTACAGCGAACATTAGATTCTGTTCCAGAGAGGTGGGTCTTGATGGCTCGGTGATTTCAATGCAAGTATTGGAAATAGTGATGTACCTTGGAGATGATGCATGGTCTTGGTTTACCATATTTTACCGGTTGTAAGTCGACCCCCGTATCCGGAGGTCTCACTTCTGCTTTTTAAAGTTATCACCCAACGAAGCACCACTAACTACTCCCTGCGACTAACACATCAACAAATCATGTAAACATTCCTTATTGGAGGGTATAAAGTCCCAATCCTTGAAAAAGGCCACTAAACTGGCAAAAATATGTACACATGGTGCACTCGTGCATGCAGGGCAGGTCATTTTTTGTAAGATACTGATAGTTCCCAGTTATAAGTCGAATCCTGGTTGTAAGTCGACCCCCACCCTTTCTCCTTTTTTTTAGTCGTAAAGGTCGACTTACAACCGGAAAAATACGGTTCGTGGCAGCTATGGACTTGGTCTCTGTAACGAAACTGGGAGACGTCTACTGATGTGGTGTGCCGTCAATCAGTTATCTGCTATGAACACCTGGTTCGAGAAGCTGGAGCACGAGCAAGGAACGCGGTGCCACCCTGCAACAAAGCAATACCATCTGATCGACATGATCGCAGCGGGCTCACTGCAAGGATGTCAGTGTTGGTCGTGGGGCAAATTGCTTTATAGACCATCGCATGGTACGAGGAAAGTTCAATATCACTGTTGTGACCCCTCTGATTCTCTAAAGTGTCAGGAACGAGTTACCACACGGCACAAGGACAACTATTGACTCTTAACGGTATATTTCACTTGATCGAACATAATAACTATGCCTAAGACCGCCAGCCATTTTTAGCATGAAAACGGTGTATATCAAGCATACACATAATGTAAAATGACAGTGTATACAGTAAATCGCACATAGCGCATATAGCGTGTACCATGCAGTAAACATCAGCGGTACGCCGGAGCCGAGATACAACATCGAAACGAATACAATGTCATAAGCGAGAAGGCCTTTCACACTTGAGAGCTTGTGGTTTGTAACATTCTCCCCACCAAAGGGCTTTTCACCGTCGTACAGCAACTCACAAGTCAAGCGATTGCGAGCTCTGACAATGCATCATCTGCTGCTGCGGTGGTGGCCAACGTGGAATATCAGTGCTCACCACGTCTGCCAACTCAATTCCCCAAGCCTGTGGATGTGGGCTGTGACACATGACACTCGTCCACTGCTTCGACCTGGGGCGGGTGCTGGACCAGACAACACACAACCGATCGCTGTGTTCCTCATAGGTATTGCAGCCAATACAGGTCCTTTCCACCGTGGTACCCAATATAGCGGTACGCATTCCCAGCAGCGAGGAAGGACCATCACAGATAAGTAGGCAAAAGTATGGTCTTTGTCTGCTTCTTTCTTCGCATAAACCAAAAGCCATCAAACCGACAGATCATCCCTATCTGCGAATCTCTTGCATTCCGCTTCACTCATTGCAGAGATGCTCGTCCAAATTTCTGCAATAAACAGGAAGAGAGGAAAGAGTTGATAGACAGACAAGCAGGCAGGCAGGCAGGCAGGCAGGAGGTAGATAGATACATACATACCGTATCTGCCGGAGTGTAATGCGCACTATGCTCCGAATATGAGAATGCATGCACTTTGAAAAGTACTGTAAAACCGGAAAGTTTAACGTGTTTGAAATTTGGCATGATTATGTGCTGAAAGTTTAACGATAGCTACCTGGCCACCCATCTGTAAGCGCATCTTTACATAGACATCTAGCGATAACGTTTTTTCAAATAACGAAAAATAATTGGTCGTTAAAACGTTAGACTTTCCGGTTTTACAGTAGTGCAATGTACATGTTCATATGATGAGCAAACTGACTAAATTGAATTATAAATAGCTCTGATAAATTTGACCGATGGACCACGAATAGAAGTTATATTTCTCGCCGCCCGAGCGGAGCGAGTTAGGTAAAAAATGATTTCTCACGCAACAAAAAACTTTCTCTCATCTGATGTTGTTTTCTTTTTGCTTCTGTGCTTTTTGCATGACTTCCTAAGTCAGTTTTTTGAGTCTCACCAGTGTCCCCGCCCTCCCACCCTTCATGTCTGCACTGCTTCTTCCCTTTCTTTCTTGGCTGTAGATATGTTGTGCCTGTTTTTATGCTGCCAGGTTGCCACTTGGGATTATACACCCGGTTTTTTCCCTCATTCATGCGTCCGTCGGCGTGAGGGTTTTTCCCGGCTGGCTCGGTCCAGAGAAATTAATCTGACGGTCCCAAGTGGTGTTTGTCCTGGCCTATTTATGTTAGCCGAATGTACTCATTCGTTTGTCCTGGGCTCTGTCCCCCTGTTGCTGCTCCTAGTGTTCTTCTGCATTCCGGTTCACATCTGGCTGCGGCCTACTACCCTCACTCTGTGTGCTCCTGCCTCTGTTGTCTGGGTCCATGTCGGTATGTCGGTATATGTGGAGTGAGAAGCGGGTGTGCTTAGTACTGGTTTTTGGCAGAATCGAGACGTCATTTTTGCTTGCGTTTAATGTGAATGTTCACTGGATCTTTTAATATGCATCACGTGGGCCCCTTATGGCTGCATAGGCCAGTCTTCATGCATTTTCGTGTGTGCTGATGCGGTCTGCATGGACATTCCCTGCCAGACTTGGGCTAAGAGAGATCCTGGTCGCAGTTGTACATATCCATGTAACTGTGTCAACTGGTGAATTATGTTACTAGACTACATGGCCTTAGTTAAAAATGTGTCAGTGCATTTCGTTCGTATTTTAACATGACTCGCATGTGCTTTTGTGTACGGAAGTACAGATAACCGTGGCATTTTCAATTGTCTTGTTTTTTTATCTTCTTCGCGAAGTCGAAGGCGTGGTGTGTTCACTGGTGTATTGCCATGTCTTTCAAGTTCCTATAAAGCTAGACAAGCATATCTGGTCTAGCCAGGCACATCCGCAAAGCACTTCTTGCTGTCCTACTCGTGGCAGCTTTAAGATACACACACTCATGATTAGTAGCCAGACATTGCACTTTCAACTACAGCGTACCTGTATGCTGTGCAAAAAAAACATCCTGCTATCTTGCTGCCAATGGCACATCTGTTGCATGCGCCCAATGTTTCCGATGTGCTTACTGATGTGCCTGAGGACCTTTGCACGTTTTCTGATGTATTCTCTGTTTGGTCTTGTTGCAGCACAAGATTCAAGTGAAGAAAAAAAGAGTTCTCCAACTCCTGCTACAAATGGTGTTTCGCATGATGGTTTCATGTTAGTATTTGTGTTGTGTGGTTTTAAAGGGGAAGTTAAGCCTAAAATGAAAATTTCACCAGTTGTAGTCTTCGGGGTGCTGAGTCGAGTGGTCTTGGTCCGAGGAAGCTGAGGCGCTCCCTTCCTACTTTAATCCCAATCGAACTCGCGCACTTCCACCAAAACTGGGTGACTGCGCCCTACTAGATGGGGATTTGTATGCAAAATGTCACTAAAAGCGCCATTTCGTTCTTATAAAAGCACGGATGACCGCTATTGGCCCATATGTTGTAGTCCTTTGGCCGCTGAGTCGACTGGTTTTGGTCCGAAAAGGCTGCGATGCAGCGTTCGGCCCTTATTCCCAATCGAACATGGTTGAACAAGCGGTCACGTGCTCCTGCGTACACCAGTCACCTGGTCACCGTGCCTGCAGGGCCTGTTTGACCTTTTTTGGGTGCAGTCCTGTCACTCGAGTTGAACTCGAGTTGAACTTTGGTGTGAAAGTTGTCGCCTGCTGGCGCTGTGACCAGGTGACTTGGGCACCCAGGAGCACATGACCGCTTGTTCAACCATGTTCGATTGGGAATAAAGGAGGAACGCTCCATCGCAGCTTTCTCGGACCAAAACCAGTCGACTCAGCGTCCTAAAGACTACAACATATGGGCCAATCGCGGTCATCCATGCTGTTATAAGAACGAAATGGCGCTTTTAGTGACATTTTGCATACAAATCCCCATCTAGTAGGGCGCAGTCACCCAGTTTCGGTGGAAGTGCGCGAGTTCGATTGGGATTAAAGTAGGAAGGGAGCGCCTCAGCTTCCTCGGACCACGACCATTCGACTCAGCACCCCGAAGACTACAACTGGTGAAATTTTGATTTAGGCTTAACTTCCCCTTTAAGCATGCTGAAGTCGGAGTTCCAGGGTGGAGGGTGGTCAGCTCCGTACCTTCCGATAGCAGTTTTTGAAGCTCGGGATTCTGTGATAATGGCCGAAAAATAAGCAGTCTGCAACATTGTGGAGGCATACAGTGGCCATGTAAAGGAACACTGGCCATAACATTCGCTTGTTAGCTCCTTGAAATACACTCTTGTCAATATATCCAGGCACGTATTAAAGTTGTAAGTATACATTCTCCTTTGTAAGCTATATTGGCTGGCATACATTCCCCTGTGACTGTACTTCCTAAAATGGTGTGCACATACTGCAGGTCCAAGACACTGGCACAGATCACAGACTGGTTTGACTTTGAGGGTGCACTTCGGAACTTTGTCGTTGGCGACGAAAGAAGTAAGTTGACTTAGTTGATATGTAAATTTAACGCGGATACTGAACCAATAAAAATCACTGTTATCGCACTTTCTGATTGCTTATTATCTTGATACAGTCGTCGACAGTTGCTTCATAACTCGTTTCCATGTGATTTCTTCTATTTAAACCCTTTCAGGGTCATAGTGCATTTACTGCGTCTGGCACTGAGATTCAGTGGATCAGCGTGGACATAGCAACAAACAAATTGTCGCAACACTATTGTTTCTCAATGGTTTTTCACAATTGATGGCTTACTGGAAAGCTCTTTTCCTGCTCGTCATCTTCCACGTGCTTTCAGAGCACACAGCACCTCAAGGATGCCCCCTAGTCTTGCCAACGGTGTCCTTGCCGTGCTCAAGTTGGGCATCAAGACCACGCACAACAATTTCCTTCGGTTCGGGGCTCATACTCAAAGTAGAACTACGATTCAAACTGTTCCGAACTTGTGAAATTCAAGTGATTCAAACGATATACTCATACTTCATGTTGCCTTTGACACATCATTGGGAAATCCCCTTGAATGAATCACTTTTCTTTCACTTCTGGTAGGGTCCATAAACTGACCGTGGTAGGTTCAGCCTGGTCCCATAGCTCAGTGGTTAGAGCATCGCTCATGACAAGCAGGGTCCCAGGTTTGAGTCCTGGTGGGTCTGGCGTTATTTTCTCTTTTCAGGCAGTTCACTTCCCCAACTGATCCTTTGTATTTGAAGTTCTCCCAATCCTTTCAAAAATGAATCACTTTTCTTTCACTGTTCTGGTAGGGTCCAGAAACTGACCGTGGTTGGTCCCCTGGGGGAGGGAGAAAGACCCAAGTGCCATCAGTATGTGTGGCACGTGTTGTGAGCTGCCTTTGGAATAATAATACTAGTCTAACTCTCATAACAGTCACATGAAAATAACTTCAAAATCCGTACTTCTGTTCTCCTGGTGTAGAGCTATGATTGCTAGGAACTTTACTTTTTATCGATGCTGGGATACCGATCTCCTCGCCATCATGTTTTCGGACATAAGATACGAATGTTCAGCCTAAAAGTGGGTGCTGTATAGCCACGACAGCTAAAGCTTGGGAAAGGACCAGAACTAAGCATCGAATATATTATCTAAAAATAGTTAGCATACCTTCCTGAATTGTTTCCATTCCATTTCTATTGCGTTTAGAATGTACACGACCATGAAATCCATTAGGTCTGCCTCATACAACCCTGTCTAAATACTTTTTTGCGTTGCTTTTTTCCATTTCTTCCTAAAGAAAAATTTGGTAGAGCTGCAGTGATCCTGGCCAATCCCAAGATGAGGAACGCCTGGGATACCGAGCTAGACCGATTCCATACTGAGAATGCTCGCAGAATCTTTGGAGACGGGGAAGGCATGGATAACCTCTTCTGCATCATTCTGTACCTCATCAACAACAGGCAGGAAATGACCATCAAAAAACTGTTTGGAATGCTGGAAGAACATGCTCCAATCCATCGTGACGATATCCGGACGGCCCTCTCGTAAGTGTACAGAGAAAGACTGTGCTGTTTTCACTGTGATGTTCTGTGCTGAATCTTTTCCTGATAAAGAGCATAGCACTGTGCCCAATTGCAAATGTACGTATTTTTGGATGTGACAATAACAAGATGTTGTCTGAGTTTCTCAAGCAATATTCTACTACGTGAACTCTTTAAATTATATTATTTTTGAAAAAAAGGTGTTAGCACCGACGCAATCCGCACAGTCAGGCAAAGCTAATTTAGTAACCGAACGTTTTCGTTCCCTTCGCATCATGGGTAAGTACAGGGAATAATGGAATAATGTCAAAATAATAATGATGATAAACGAGAGAGCTTGGAAGCTCAGGGCTCTACGCTATGCTTTGTTGCTTAGCTCATCGTGCATGTTGTTGTTGTTATTATTATTATTATTATTATTATGGAGTTGGCTTTATTTCACTCACGTTGTCATGACATGAGATAAGAACCCCATCACCGGGCCAAAAGAGACCAAGGGTAATGAGAAAAAAATAGATAAATGGCCAACGCAATGAAGACCGAAGCAAAAAGGATTGTAAAAACCAAAGCAAAAATATTGAAAGCCGACGCAGAAACTGAGAGACGGACAGAAATAAGCAGAACGATGGAGGAGGCCAGGACATATTCGAATACAAAAAGATGGAGGAGGACAGGACCGATGATATTCGAATACAAAAAGATTAATCACAAAAATGGACTACCAGTACAGGAATAGACCTGTAGAAATAGAGGAAGAGATGAATGCCGGACATACTCAAATGGCAAGAGAAAAATCAGGTTGTGAGGACCGTCATACTGCACATTCATGGATGTCAAAGCAAATGCGGTATTGGAGGTTTATACGGACTAGCTCTACCCGTAACATGAGGAGCCTAATGCCGAATGCCAAGAACCGACTTGACGATGTTCAGCGTGCCCAGGATAGCACATTGCTGAGCCCTTTCAATGCGCAGAGTGCCTGCCAATGCCAACACAAAGTGTGAGAGGGACACACCTTATTATTATTTTTTTTTTCTTCAGACTTTTCCCGTTTGTTTCTTTCCCTCAAACTAGTGAAGATTTTATGACTTGGGGCTCCCCGCGTGCTAGAGTGTACGTGAAGTGTGTGGGTACAGTGAGGGCTGCGTCCCACCCGCCTGTGTGGATTTACAGGAAGTGTGAGTTACGAACTCTGAAGAAAATGTTGAACAGTCTCTGCTGGGATGACGACTACACCATAGCTCAGTGGTTAGAGCATTGCTAGCTACAAGCGAGGGTCCCTGGTTCGAGTTCTGGTGGTGACAGTCAATTTTTTCTTCAGACTTTTCCCGTTTGTCTCTTTCCCTCAAACTAGTGAAGATCATTATTATTATTATTATTTTGAAAGGATTGGGAGAACTTCAAATTCAAAGGATCAATTGGGGAAGTGAACTGCCTGAAAAGAGAAAAAAATCGCCAAACCCCCACCACCAGGACTCGAACCCGGGACCTTGCTTGCCATGAGCAATGCTCTAACCACTGAGCTATGGGACCGGGCTGAACCTAGAAGGCGCTGACAAGTTTTTCACCCCAAAGGCAGCTCACAACACGTGCCACACATACTGATGGCACTTGGGTCTTTCTCCCTCCCCTAGGGGACCAAACACGGTCAGTTTCTGGACCCTACCAGAAGTGAAAGAGAGTGATAAATTTTGAAAGGATTGGGAGAACTTCAAATTCAAAGGATCAATTGGGGAAGTGAACTGCCTGAAAAGAGAAAAAATCGCCAGACCCACCAGGACTCGAACCCGGGACCCTGCTTGTCATGAGCAATGCTCTAACCACTGAGCTATGGGACCGGGCGGAACCTAGAATGCGCTGACAAGTAGTGGACATGACTCCACTAGACATCTACTTGGTCTAGAACGACCGGGGACTAGCCAAACTCTCTTCAAGATTCCTAGAACCTAGAAGGCGCTGACAAGTAGTGGACATGACTTCACTAGACATCTACTTGGTCTAGAACGACCGGGGACTAGCCAAACTCTCTTCAAGATTCTTTTGGTATAGAATTTTCGGATCCTTTAGAGAAAAATTCGATTTCATTTAGGGCTGAGTCGGGTAGCATTTTCTTCGGGTATCGGGTCCGGGTAGTTTTCCACGGGTAGCACGGGTACCCGATCGGGTAATGTTTCCATGGTAAGACCACAATGCACACCGGCCCCTTCCCTTGCGCACTGGGTAGACATGCGTGAATTATTTGTACATGTGCACTGTACATGATGTCATCTGCGACTTCGGGTTTTCGGGTACTATTCGGTACCCGTCTACCCGAGGTCCTCACGGGTAGCACGGGTACCCGACTACCTGTGCACACCACTAATTTCATTCCTCTTTAAATATTTGTTTCACCCCTAGAAATAATAAAAATTTGGTTTGTGAGCAACACTGGCTCACACTCAATCACTGCTTTTCACCAGAAAAATATTTTCATTCAACGTTTCGGTTATGAAATAACCATCATCAGGAATGAAGTGGGCACACCGGTTAGGAAGGGTTAATAAATGAGGAGCGCTGCGAACTGATAATAAATCACACCTGCATGCACTATTACGAGAGAGAAAAAAAGGACAAAACATCGCAAAAAAGCTGGTATAGAAATACTTCAGTAACACAATACGCAACAACTCTGAATATGGCACAGGTACAGGCACCAAACAGCATGTACATGTACAGTAGGTGCGTGCATACATATAATTGCAGGCGCTAGCAACAACGGTAGTAGTAACAGTGCATGGAGTGCAAAACCACCACTATCCAGGAAAAGCGAGTATGAGGGCCAGAAATATCTACAAGGTATTACTTCACCGGAGACTTCACAGGAGGTCCCACCCTGCGTTATTGTTTATGCTGGGGCTCGCGAATTTGTATTGCTTCGCGTATTCTCCTCCTGGCCCGATCCGACTCAGTGGCAAGGACGCGAACCTCTGTGAATGCCGGCTCACCAAGCGGCAGTACCTCGCTGCCACGGTGAAGTCGGTAGTGCTCGCCGAGGGCTTTTCCAGACGTCTTGTAGCGCGAGTTATCATTGTGTTCTTTTGTTCACGTTGCTACACTACGACCAGTCTCTCCAACATACTTCTCCGAGCATTTGCAGGTCAGACGATACTGATGATACCACGTTGCGTCGTGTGCATTCTACCTCGCTCGACTGGCATGCAACGCAGGCGGCTTTAGGCCTTCCTTGTCGCCTCGGGGGCAGCGGGATCCGCCCACTTACGGCAGCAAGGTCCAGTGAGGCTGGACTTAGTGACGCTGTTGGAAAGCCTTGCATTCTTGCAGATTATCTGCATGATTTGTTTAGAAGACGGTGGACTCCCTAGTGGATGGCATCCGTTTTGAATGGTAACTTCAATGTGGATCGATAGTCTTCAAGTTCTTTTGTTTAGCAGGTCGCCTGGCTCGTTCATGAGCAGTCGCGATAACTTTGTCAGGAAAGTTGTTGAATTTTAATGTGTCAATAACCTTTTGCTCACTTCGCTGGCGGGCTGCAGGATCAGAGGAAAGGCGCGGAGGAATTCCGAACACGCGATGGCGGGTTTTTGCTGTTGCGGAACACATGAGTTGAAATCTGAGACGAGACCACTATGGCAAGCTTTGCGGAACAGCTCGAATGATATTGCGCCCTCGGAGGAGACATGAATAGTCGTGTCCATAAAGTCAACCGACCCAGTTTCCTCCGAAGATTGATATGTGAACTTGATGCTCGCATTGGCGGTATTGAAGAATGCAATAAGTTGGCGGAAAAGCGCGGCCCCCAGTGTCCACAGCATAATGATGTCATCAATATAGCGCTTGTAGAGTACGGGGGCACCAGGTGCGTTTTGCAACAGCGAGGTTTCAAGGTCATGCATGAAGATAATCGCAAACGGGGGCGCTAGGTTGTTACCCATGGCGATGCCTTCCCTCTGGTGGTATACCTTCTCACCAAATCTGAAACGAGAGAGCTTGGAAGCTCAAGGCCCTACGCTGTGCTTTTTTGCCTTGATGACCTAGGCAAAAAAATAGTAAATTTTTCATTTCTCCTATTTTTTTTTCAAGACATAACCTGGGATTTGAACCCGCACTATATCGCCCTGCATGCATATTCCGATACACTTCGCATACATACTAATTCCTCCAAGTTGCTTCACGTTATGATCTTGCATTTGAAAGCCCTGTTTGAATATTGTGGCCAGCTGTTTGTGGCCAGCCGTCTTTGATGGTACGGTAGGGTACGGGACAGGCACGGTCGAGGGTAATACGACACCGTCTACCACCTTGATGACCTAGGCAAAAACGCATAGGGATGTTATAAATTTTCAATTCTCCTATTTTTTTTTCAAGGCATACCCTGGGATTCGAACCTGCACAATGATCGCCCTACATGCATTACCCGATACACTTCGCATTCATATTCATTATTCCAAGTTGCTTCACGTTATGATCTTGCATTTGAAAGCCCTATTTGAATATTGTGGCCAGCTGTTTGTGGCTAGCTGTCTTTGATAGTACGGTACGGTACGGGACAGATATGGGATAGCGCCAGATAGAGGTCCGTCCGCCACAAACAAACACTAAATTAAAGCTGTGTGGACCCTGGCTAGCACCAGACGTTACTGAAGTAACGTCTTCTGCATAGCTACGGGAATAAATACTACATATTCCCTGTCTATGTAATAAAAACTACATATTCCCTCACGTCTGAGTTGTGAAAAAAACAGGTTTCATGACCTTTGTGAAAAGGTATGGTGCTGAGTTCAGTCCAAAACACAGGCACTGAAATTCGAACAGCTTGTCTCGCCAAGAGAATCGCACATACTTGCAATATATATCCACTGGAATGGAGAAATAAGCATCCTTGAGATCCAATGAGGTAAGGTACATGTCCTTGCGAATGAACGGTAAGAAGCTAGGGAGGTGCTCCATTTTGAAATGAGGAGCGTGCAAAAACTCATTGAGTTTCTTCAGGTTAATGATCAACCTCATTTTCCCGTTCTTTTTGGGTCGCAAGAAAATGTTAGACACAAATTGGTCTAACCTGGGTTCTACCTCAAGGATAGCTCCCTTCCCCAATAGATTTGGATCTCAGCGTCCACCAATGATTCATGAAGCTCAGAAGCTGTAAAATCTCTAGGCACTGATGCCATTATAGGAGTAGAAGCAAAGTCAAGTTTCACACCAGCTATGGTGTTAAACACGTGCCTATCACGTGTTATGTTTGTCCAGTTGGCTAGACACAGCTTTGTACGGCCAACAGAACTCACCTCAGAAGTTATTGGTGCTTGGACTGGTGTTTCTGGTGGGGCTTCTTGTAGCCCTGTTTGTATGGGTAGTCCTTCTTTGGGGCGGACTGGCCCCTCCTGTTTAAAGACTGGTGGGTCTGGTGAGTGTTCTGCTTAGACCCGTACGATGAGCGGCGGTCAGCCTGGTGGTACGGATGAAACCGTGAGTCACCACGTGTGCTAGACACGCTCTTGGAAACCTTAGCCAACTCATTAATCTCCGTGATGGAGTCCTGAATATTGTCGCCAAACAACTGGTTTGTGACAGGCACGTACACATCACATAAGGACCTGTAGTTCCTGTTGATGCCAGAGCACATTACCTCCCGGCCTCGTTGGGACAGTTCGAATACTGAATTTCCTAGCAGCGCTATAGCTGACGACAAGAGTTTGCTGGTGTTCGTCAATGCCTCAGCTGATGGGCTAGGTTGCATCAAGGTTTCTTTTGCTGCTACGACGCCCGCCATACCTTTGACCACCAGATTCTGCGTGGTCTCCATGTGGACGTCAGTGGCTTTCGTCCACTTGCCCAACCGAGTCTTTCCAAATCCCCTCGTTCACTTGGGGTACTACAAGGGTTGGGCAGTTGGCGGGTCGAGGACAGCGGCGTTTCATGTTTGTTTGAAGTTTTATTTTACATTGCAAGCCAAACGGGCATTGATGCCCAATATTATGATGGCGATAGAATAAAAAGTGTGGCTCGATAAAGCTGCACTTGAGAAAATGAGAAAACAGTCAATAGGAAGTATTTGTACAGGTAATTACAAGTCAAGTTCGAACGAAGTAACACTCAGGGAGAAATAGGAAGATGAGGACCTATGCCAGAGGGAGGTGCTATTCAGCCATATTAACCATAGAAAAACACTTTCAGCAATCTTTTAAACGGGGTTGGACGACGAGTGGACGTGAGTTCCTGTGGCAGGGTGTTCCAAAGCTTCACGGCGGAAACCAATGGTCGGCTGTTGCTAGATATTCACCGAGTTAGCGGAACAACGTATTTGCTATTGTCATTGCCACGGGTGTTACTGGGAGGTTGGAGGGCTACTCTATCTTTCAGAAGAGGGCTGATGCTGCTGGTGTGGACACGGTGCATAAGGAAACGGAGTTTGCATTTGGCACGTTCAATTACAGGGGTCAGGGAAAGGCGAGTGTATGCAGGAGTGGTATGGGACGGGAAGGGCAGATCGGCTACGCAGCGAACCCATCGCTTGTCGAGGACAGCGAGCTGGTGCTGCTGCTGAGCCGTAAGTGCAGAGAAGAACGCGTTTGATCCATAAAGCATATCAGGAAGTATAAGAGCAGAATAGAAGAGGAGTGACTGGCGTTCAGATAGCGACGGGCGGATGGTTCTCAGGGTGGTTAGCTTCTGGGAAGTTTTACGTACTATGCTGGAGACCTGCACGTCCCACCGAAGACAGGAATCGATCTGTAGGCCCAGAAAGCGAGCAGTGGTGGTCTGGGTGAGAGGCGTCCCATTGCAGTTAACGTTGAGTTCCAGGGTACTACGGCGGGATGCCTCAATGGCTAAGACCTGCGTCTTGTCAGGGTTTAAAACCAGGCCTTTCCCGTGTAGGTAGTCAGCCAAGTTTGACACAGCAACTGATAAGACTTGATTTAGGGTTGCTACGGATCTGCTTGCGGTGTCGAGAAGAATGTCATCCGCAAACAGCTGGGAGTGTGCTGGGCTGGTGACGCTATGGACGTCCATGGTATATAGTGAAAACAGCAAAGGACCCAGTACACTACCCTGAGGGACTCCACACTCGCATGCAGTTAGGCCCGAGCACTGCCCACTCGCCAGAACTACTCTCTGTCGACGGTCCGTGAAGTAGCTCGCAAACCAACGCAATGCAGTCGAAGATACACCCAAAGCAAACAAATCTTGGATCATGAGCTGGTGCCGTACTTTATCGAATGCCTTGCTCATGTCCACTAGTACTGCGCCAGTATGTAGCTGGTGGTCTGCTGACGACAGATAGCGGTCCATGGCCAAGGTCAAGGCATCTTCCATGGAGTGTTGTGGCCGGTACGCAAACTGATTGGCGGGCAAAAGTGAATGGGTTTGTAAGAAGTCACACAGGCGTTTGTGGACTATCTTCTCCAAGATCTTCGATGCTATTGGCAGCAAAGATATGGGACGGTAATTGCGAGATGCGTTCTTGTCACCAGACTTAAATAGGGGTAGAACATTTGCAATCTTCAGGGAGACGGGCACAATGCCAGACGAAAGGGATGCATTAATTAATATGGATAGCGACGGAGCGAGGGCTGCTGCACAATGCTTCAGGATGAATGCCGGAATACTGTCGCTGCCCTCAGCTTTACGAGCATCGAGTCTCACGAGGAAGGTGAATACCTCCTCAACACTAGTGGCCTGGAATCCCCGCAAAGGATCCCGTGGTGACGGACCACAAGGTAGGGATAGCTGCACAGGTCTACTTGGATCGGAGACTACTCCACTGAATTGCTCACTGAGTGCTGCTATACTGACAAAGGGTGGAGTGGAAGTTTTGGTCCGGCCGCTGAGCTCGTTTATTGTCTTCCAAGTGAGGCGTGCATTTGCCTGACTCCGTGTGAGAAGATTCTGGGCCCTGAGGCGTCGGGACATTTGCTTAGCCTCGGCTCGTGCTGATGTGAATACAGTTCGCAGATCCATGTCAGTCGGCGAGGCTCGCCAGTGACGATGTGCTGCGTTGCGAAGTAGAATAGCGTCGTGGAGGGCAGGTAATTTCCAAGGACAGGGCGTGTGGGAGGAAGATTTAGGCCGATACGTTCGGATAGGAGCTTGCTCGTCCAAAACATTAGCGCCAAGCTCTTTGTCTCCCACGAAAGAAACCTGTTCTAAATCGCCGGCTTCGGCTGAATCAGGGAGTAAGGCTGAAGGTAGGACCTCCTCATCGACATCCATCAACTTCTGACCCAAGTCATCGGGTTGAGGAGCAGTGGTGTGCTGAACACCTGGGTTACTGGTACCGGAATTCTTCGTCAATAATTCCGTAATGGAAGTGAGTTGGGCGATAGAAGAAACGTCTGACTTCAACGTAGTGACAGAGGTCTCCAACTTATTGAATTGTTCCGAGGAGACGAACTCCAGATCAGCATCGATGTCGCCAACATCCATGGAAAATACTACAAGAAACTAACTAACTTGCTAGTTAAAAAAAGGAAAAATACTGTTCCCGAAAAAGGGAAAGACACAAGGAAGCTTTTCAACGGATCTGCGACCAGCGCAAAGAAAAAACTGAGTTGGCCACGCGCGCGCATGCGCTTACAGGGAACTGGCCAGGAAAAAATTTTCTTATGAAAATGCTTTAAAAATTGCGGATCTGTGACTATTGCGTACCGAATGTCTCAAGTAAGAACGTACTTACTGTGCATGACTTAGGCATGCACAGTGCTCCTGGATGCAGAGAGAAGGTGAAGTAGAATTATTATTATAATGAGGCTAAATTAGTATGCGACATAATGGGAGAGCAACAGCGGAACGTGTATAATTTATATTACTTAATTAAGTACAATGTAGTCGGAGCATCGCAGGGAAGATACAAGAGCATTGCACCCACATTGCTGTACATCTATGCACCGGATGTGAAAGTTTTACATGTCAGATCATTGGTCTATGCAATGCATGGCCAGAATCATGCTTGTAACCGCCTGACCTCAATGCTAGCCTAGAGCGGTGATAGTATGTGTATTTACAAAATTTTACCTGCCACCCCAAGAGCAAATGAAAAAGGATAGGCTAAGAGCGAAACACACCTTCTTTCATAGTCCACTCTATTAATCTCTGTGCTCATGCTGTGCTTTCACTCACCTCCAAACGGCACAATTAGCACACTCACTCTTACAAAAAAAGTCACCACCTTACTTGGAGTGACTTTATCGATGGTGCTGAGAACGAGGTTGGCCAGAGAGTGCATTCCCTAGAGGATAGATAAAAGTCATTTGGCATCAATAAGCCAAAGGCTGCTGTTGACCTTTCTTCCTATTGGTCATTGATACAGCCATTGATAGTTTGTCCTTTGAGGAATTGACTGTGTATATCCAGAGATTTTACCCCAGCAGTGTGTGCTGCCTTCTGTTTTCTAACAGGGAAGCTGCATACAATGACTGAGCAAGCACTGTATTGAGAATAGCAGCAGGTAAAACACAGTTCTGGTAACTACCAGTGCACCTAGCGATCCGATTTGTACTTCCTCCCTTCTGGTCCCGTGCCGTTTCTTGTCTTTTTCACCTTTGAAAGGAAGTGAAGACTTGTCTCTTTTGCGTTGTAACCTACGGCCCACAGTGCTTGATGGGACCTGCGAGTAGACAGTAGCATTATGTCTTCACTATTGCAGTTAGTTTGTACGGCCTAGTTGCTCAACTTGAGTGTATTGTATATCTAAGGTTCTGGTATTATAAGTTCCCATGACACCATGTGGCTTTCTCTGACAAGCCGCCACGCATTCTCTGATTGGGTGCATGGTGAACGCTTTCCTGGGATTGTCTTGCCACAGTGGTTTCTGTAATGCACTGCATAGAGAAGAAACCTAATATGCGTTATTAATTTTGTAGCGTGGCAGCAATATACAGCCAATGGACATAACTTATGAGTTGTTGATGACCTACCTAACAGGGTAACTGTGAGTCTAAGCTGCTTCTGTTCGCAGTAGATTGGTTTCTTTGTGTTAATATATTGCTCTGTTTTGATTCCTCTACAGGGAGTGTGAGCTGTGAATACAATGGCGGACTCACCTATGGTTAGACAGCCAATCACCATGCCTAGCTGCTGCAATTGCAGTTACGGTATTCTCTTTACTTCCATGCCATGTACAGTATTCACTGTTTTTCATGTAGTACATATTTTATCTATCCAGTTGCAATGCACGCTCGCTAAGGAGCTGTTTTGCGATTCCGTGATAGCGATTCATTTGTTTGCTTTGCTGTCCAAGACTGGCTGTTAATGTTATCGCAACCTCACAGTCAGTCACCAATACACTGTACTTGAAAGTTGAAACTGTGATTCTGCAGTGGCCATGGCAATGGTGTTAGTCACTGCATTTGTCTGAGTGGCATTGTAAACCTATTGACAACTTGACATTTTATGTACAAGCGCACTTGAATCTTTGAATTTTGTCCATGAGAGTGATGCAGAATAGGGATGCACCTTTCCTCTTTCAGGGCGAGACCGTTCACTGCTTGAGAGTGACAGTCACAACTGACCATCAATATGCGGTGTTATATTTTTTGTATTCTTAGACATGCGGTCTTCCCTCGTGTCCCTCTTTGACATTTGGCTTTATCGTTGATGTGTGTGCGCGTGTGAGTGTGTGTGCGTGCGTGTGTGTGTGTGTGTGTGTGTGTGTGTATGTGTGAGATACTGCATATGATCACCAGATAGCCTCGTTCTCTAGCTCTCTCTCTCTCTCTTCTGATCTTCCTTTCTCCATTCTTGATAATCACCAACTCCTCTCTCGCATTTACCTGAGCTTACAGTCTTCTCCTTGTATCTTCGTGTTTTCCCGCACTATCTCTTTTCGCCGTACACTGGCAACGTTGCTGGCGATCCGCCATGGCAACCCTCGTACCTTGATTTGCTGGCCGCATGCTTCACTGCTTTGTTCTTTGAGTTTTCTCCATTGAGACAAGAGAGAAAATTTAATATTTTCCTTACAATAATGAATCTTCGAGTCTGATTCTAGAAATTGTAAATTGGTCCTTCGAGCCTCTCAGACGATGGCTGACATTGTCTTGGACGCTAAAGAATTAGCACTTCATGTCATAATAATTATTAGTAGTGACCCACAGACTCGGTGCCCAGACCTTACAGTGTTCTTGTGAGTGCTTCTGTCTGACCAGGGAGTAGTAAAATTCCCGTGTTTTACTACTCAGTCCCTGGCCAGACTTTGCTTGGCTAGCTTTTGGGCTTATTTTCGTCATTCTGGGATCCATGAGAACCGCCCAGGTTGTTCGTCTTGCCTGTTGGTTCATTGTATCAGACCGTGGTTGCGTGCATGTCTAAAGCGGATTAAAGGGAATAGTTCACACACCGTAATGTTGCTTATTGAAGCAGGTGCTTACGGCCGTATAAGCCGGGGTTCAAACCATGCTTCTATTCAAAACGTGCTTCTACGTCAACATCATCAGTGTACACTGGCCCTTATCGCACTTTCTGACCGTTTATCATCTTGGTACAGTTGTGGATAATTGCTGCATAACTCATTCTCATGTGTTTCTTCTCTTTTTTACAATTATTATTTTGGGCCGTGTGCATGTACAATTGTAGATGGGAACCTTTGAAGGCATGTGGACTTTCAACTCAAATACAAAAATGTACCGGTACTAGCAAGAGTCCATAACCTTGGGGTAACCCTGGGCCTGGGGTTATGGACTCTTGCTAGTACCGCCAGAGCGCCCCGTCTCGCGAGAGCGCCCCACCTTGATTTTACAGCCAAGGGAAGAAAAATCGTATGGCAGAATGCTACTACAAGTATTAGTTTGTACGATGTGAGAAACTTCGTGTACTAAGGTCACACTTGGTATGCTTTTATGTGGAGCTCGAAGGTAAACTGGGTACGGATTGACTGCACAATGTGCAATGTTTGTACAAGGTCCGTGTCGTAGATCTATGACCTTCAGACAGGAATCCACCTCCACAAGGCGACCACGAAAGGACGAGGTGGTGGGGCGCTCTGGCGGTACTTTACGGTAGTCACATCCGTGCACCCTTCTTAGCCTTCGACATTCTAATCCAGCTAGCGTAGCAACGTTCGTCGCCTTCGACAAGATACTAGTAGGCTATCAGAGACGTTTGTGATGTTATCCTGCTCTCATCCAGGCCTACAATTCCAAACCAAGCAGAAATTAATTTGAGACCGGCGATATCCGGCGTGACAAATATAATAACTATGCTGTGGCAATGGCTCAACCGCTTGCCGAATCAGGCGAATGCCGGTGCTGTGAAAACTGAAAACCTTTACCCAGGGATTACCATCAGTGCATCACTGTTACATAATTGCATACATGTAGGAAAGGACGATTGGTGGATAGCATGTCATGATCCTATCTCCTCGGGTCTTCCTAACACAACAGGTTTCCAGGCGAGGTGAGGCTTGTCATGTCGTTCAGCTGCTACGAAATGGCGCTTTTAGCCCTGAAGTTAGTTGTTCAAGTGGTGTCGGTAGATCGCTTCTTGCACAGTTAGTGCAAACAGCCGTGCAGAGGAACTCGATAGGAACGCCGGGAAGTCTGAACGGGAATCTGCACGAGTGGTGTGGCAGACAGGGCAAGATTTCTGTGATAAGATGTCACGACGGGGCGTTTAGATCTACAAATGTCTGCCCTTGCGCCGGGAGGAAATCTCCACAAGGACCAGGATGAACTTGCGATCGAGCACTTTCGTAATTGACGGCGCTGACAAGAAGTATCTTCCGATACGATCTCAACAAACCCAGTTTAGTGTATTACTCGTAGCAACTGAACGCTTTCTACTTTAATAGCTGCTCAGCGCTGTCAGATATTAAATGTTTTGTTTAAATCTTCGGCCAGTATGATTACTACTGAGTAGACCCAGGTGCTCGAAGTCCGTACATGGTATCCTAAGTTCGTACGCCCATAATTTCATGTTCTGTTATTGTATTCGACTCAAATATTTTATGGAGGGGACAGTGTGGTATGTTCTCCTCGCGTAGCAATTTTCAGGGATCTACGATAAACAGAAGCCCCATACCACGCGACTGGGTTTTCGAGTGTCCTTACGAAATACAAATTGGGTTACATTTCATGCAAAAATCAACTCTGCCAAGACCGATTTCGAACGGACACAGCGTCAAACAGACCTTCACTCAATCATCAAGAGCCAGCTTAGAGCTGACAATGGCCAGAGGAGAAGAATTTACAGAGAACCACCAATCCTTGCAGAAAGGTTGACACTCCTGGCATCTCCACCACTGTTTTCCCGCGGTTTTCACAGCGCAGCTGCTTCTTCTCTGACCCCACTAAAAACAGCTTGCATTTCGGCAACAAACCACGCTTTTGCAAGAAATACTAGTGGAGGCACATGCCAAACATATCCCTTCGGTGCTTTCGTCGTAACCGAGGGATTGCAAGTTAGCAATTAGCAGAAATATGTGTGTATTTCGTGTCACGTCTGATCAGTACGGACTTAGAGTACCCTCTGCGACACCAAAATTTGATATGAAAAATCAGCGAACTCCAGAGAAACAGATCGGATCGAAAGATGGCCTGGTTCAATCGAGCCTGGCCTCAGAACAAACTTGGACAAGATACCTTCCATCCACGAGCAGGATTCTGGCAAGTGATCATTGCTAGTGTGAGTTTCAGCTCGGCAAACACACACTGTAAAAGTGTACGGACTTCGAGCACCTGGGTCTACTGTGTTCACTTCGGCTTGGACTTGGGGGTGAGACATGGGGAAGTTTCTGTACTGGGGTGTGAGCCCGCTTCTCGGCACCGGAAGTACAGATAACTTTATAATGATAACTCTACGCTGGGTGAATAGTCATCAACTTCTTACCATTCGTTCACCAGTTGACAAGATGAACTCGATCATGTATACCTGGCGCTAACTGACTGTGAGCAGTGTTCTCGAAGGCTTGGCTCACTGCCACTGGCAGGCGAGGTGTGAGTGTTTCGCTGCCGTCGGAGTGAATAGACATGGTTAGCATTTTACCGTTCACGCTATTTCGACGGTCGGCGTGTAGAGGGCGAGTCTATTGTTTTTGATGTGTTTTCGAGACACGGTTAGCAGTTCGGCTTCTGAGTCCTGACTCCTGACGCACGGATAGACGTGTGAGGTAACCCTAGTTAGAATCCTACCATTTCGTTCTCCCGCTAAAAAGAGCTTTCTATCGTCGAAACGGTACCAAACCGACGGTATTTTGGGTTTGGGGTACGGGTACCGTTGGATCTAGCGCATGAACTATAAAATGCCATGTCTACACACACAAAAAACGGTGCAGGCCTACCGGCGAAAATAGCGTGAACGGTAAAATGCTAACCATGTCTAATGCCTCGCTAACTCACAGCGTCTGCGAACGCTAGATTACTCCACAGAGGGATCAGTCGCAATCTCTTCGTTTCACCATGGATCAATGGCCTGATCCTGAGAGGCTGGAGCTGCTCTCATCTTGCTAGAACCGCTCATGCACCTTGAAGCATTGTAGAACGCAATTTAGAAAGCAATTTGGAATCCAATTTAGAAAGCAATTTGGAATCCCATTTAGAGAGCAATTTAGAACCCAAATTTAGAAGGCCTCGCCGATACTTGTGAACTGACGGTACTTGTGCAACGTGAAGAAAATGTGTAGGTAAGAAAATCGCTTCGTTTCAATCACCACCAAATTCCGTACAACCACGTTTGCCCATGTCATAAGCCATTGCATAACTTTTTATCGCTTCATTACAGTTTTACCCTGGAATCTTTTCGCTAGGCTTCCCTAATAAGCTGCATTTGGAGTTTGGTCAATGTTAGATGAAGTCACATTGTAGTGGAAATGCAGCTACTTCTGAAGTATTAGACTCGGGTGTAGAACGTCAGTACCGTCGGTCAGTGTCGTGCAATGTTATCGCATGAGCTGATTGTAAAGTAACTGGTGGTGTTAGTGGACATTATAGAGCAACTTGTAGTTCCTTGGTCCTCATTACTAATGTCTTCTGAACTACATGTACGCAGATTGAGTGTACATAGTTGTAGATAGAACATGTGCAGTGATGTTCAGGGTGTGTTGACCTCCTGTCTACAGACTATAGAGATCAATAAAACAGAGAGGTTCCAGGCTGTCCAAGACTAAAACTTGAAAGTAGTCCTCGTATTGCTTGTTTTGTTTGACTATTGTCATAGAGATCATGTGGGGTCGTCCAACCATTATCCTTTTAAAAATAAGTACGGTTTGAGACAATGTGATGCACATACTTCGAGTACATGTACACTGTACATGTACTTCGAAGTACACTGTACATGCACTCGAAGCATTGTGCATGATTGCATTGTGCCAAGCCACACTACAACTGTAGTATGTAGGGGTAGGGGGCGGATGCTCTTGTCTTGATCTCTTTCCATTACTTTACGGCATTAGTTTTTTCTAAGGACAGAATGACTGTGGTCTAGCTGAGTGACTGGCGAGAGAGGTACTGCGAATGGCTGAAAGTAACTTTTCCAAACACGTCTGTCGTATGGAAGAAGGCTTGGCGTTGCTGCCAAGTACATGTACCAACACTGCACCCCCTGATGAATTTAACACGAATTTGCATTGCCAGGATTTGCATACTGAACAATGAACGCCTTGAAAGGCAGCAGCATGTCTGGAAGAAAACAGCTTTCGAACTGTAACTCACTAACTCGGCCCTGTGCAATCACCTGGTCACGCACACACAACGCGTTTCCTCCATGTATTTCTTTGTGAGCGTTGATGTGCTGGAAGGACCACTGCCCAATGATCGCCTTTCTACTGCAAGGGGTCGAAAGATCACGTACATATACATGAGCACGTACAATGGAATTTGTATACCAGTTGTCACTAACAGAACTAGTGCACAAGAGCGATAAGATGTAACATTTGGCAAGCGGATGACGAATCCGCGCAACCCGATTCACATTGCTTTACGTCACCCAGACAGGCAGTGCCAATGGCTGACATCCTCTAGCTACCACAAAGCACTCTTGCTCATGGGGAAGACCTCAATAATGATACTCTGAAGTTGCAACACATGCTTCCCCAAGCCCAGGAACGATGTATTTTGCGGGCACAAAGAAATGACATTATCCAGATCCAGATGGACGTCATTCTTCGGAAGTGTCGGA